GGCACGTGCATGCATACATGCACACACGTAACAAGCACCTCGCGAGGAGAGACAAAAACCTTCTGACACATAAGCACCATGGCAGGGACTGACAAAAGCAGGGGAGTTCCACTTTTGGAACTAAGTTAGTAAAGCCATAGATTGAGTTTAGTACGAGAACAGCAGAATCCAAACACCCCATGGCACAATGCTGCTGCTGTGACAACAGCCTTGCACTGGCTACAGCAAGAACATGGAACGAACCCATGACTGGACTGGACTGTCGGATGCAGTGCAACTACGCCTTGTTCTCTTCGCTTGCTTGCTTATTGACATGACTGAACTGCCCCTGACAAGCAAGCTTTCCTCTGTGGGCCGAGACATTGCTGCATCTGCAGCTGCCATGGCACACTCACCAACCAACCAACCAACCCAGCCAACCGTAAACGTCTCCTTGACTATTTGCACTGCACATTTGAACCATGATCTCAGCAACTGTGGTTTCAGGACAGCATGACATTCTCTAACTACCTAGACTAAGGGTCTTCTCTTCTTCCTCCCGTGCCAGTAGCAGTTCCTCATGGCAAAACTGCAACTACCGTACTAAAACTATGACCCATGGCATGCCGTGAATGATCAGTTGCTGGGCAGAACGTTGGGCACTTTCAGGAATGGCCCGTCCATCTTGGGTACTTGGCTCAGCATTTCCTCCCTGCAGCCCAGACAGCCACGATCGTGTGTACAATTGAGAAAAACAACGGTATTTAGTTTGTAACAGCCTGGCAACCATGTCGACACATGACTGGTTCCTAACACTGGAGAAAGGCAAAAGATTGGTTTGTAGCAGCATGTGGTAAGAAAGTGGAGCTTCAGAAAGTGGAGCTTCAGAAAGTGAAGCGCGCTCCAGCCAGCTCAGTTACATGGAGTCGACTCTCACCTGTTTTCAAAATCGACGACGACATCCTCCCTCATGTTATCCGGCCGCAGCTCCTCCCCTCCTGGCGTTGACCATGGCATTGTTACGATCGGAGTGGGGTGGGATGTGGGAGTGGGAGGGACGTGGGTTGCGTTGCAGGTGAACCGCTGGAAAAGGTCCAATGGTCAGGGTGACGGGTCAGGAGTCGGTAATTGAGGGTCCAGCCTCCAGGTCAGGGGTAAGGGGTCAGCAACAGGGATGGCATGGCATGGCATGGCATGGTTGTATTTTGGACAGTGGACATGGACCATGCAGGCCATGGGGTTATGGGGGGTAGCCTTAGCGACACGAATGACAGCAGGCATATTTGAAAGGCTTTTTGAGGCGCCACAACAGTGTTCTGATTTGAGGCGACTCAAAGATGTAGCCTTACCAACGCGGATGGCTGCAGGCACGTCTGAAAGGTCCACCTGCTGTAGCTGCCCAAACCTGCCAGTGTTACAGGGGGTGTGTGAGTGAGGAGGGAATATGTGAGTGAGGAGGGAATGTGCGTGAGGAGGGAATATGTGAGTGAGAAGGGATAATGTGAGTGAGGAAGGCATATGTGAGTGAGGAGGGTATACCACAAGCAGGGTACTTGAGTGAGTGTAAACGTGTGAGGCAGAATGGGTAAGCGAGGAGAACCAATCACTGTACTTGTCGTTCTTACCAGTCTACTATGCGAGATATAGACTTGCCAAACTCCTTCTCCTGCCCACGCGAAAGCAAATTACATTTGAGACTCAGAGTGCACTTCAGACAAAATGCAAACGAGCCATCATCTGAATCCGGCAGCTCATCAGGTTTCAGCACCCACAATCCCTCCCCCTAGGTCTTTCCGAAGATCCTTTTACATCCCCAACCGACCACCGCCCCCACCACACATCCCCGCCCCTCCCCCCCCCCTTCCCCCCCCCCCTTCCCCCCCCCCCTTCCCCCCCCCCCTTCCCCCCCCCCCTCCCCCCTCCCCCCCTCCCCCCCCTCCCCTCCCCCGAGCACCTCTTCCGCCGACAACGCCAGCCGCGCCTTCAGGGCAAGGTCCTTCACATTCGGCTCCGCCTTTGCGGAAGCTTCCGCAGACGAGCTCTGGCAGCGCACCCCGCCCCGCGCAATCAACGCAGGCAAATTATGCCCGCCATATCCGCTCGCCGCAATCAAGCCCCCTGGACACCTCTCTGGCGCGAATGCGGTCGCGCGGCGAGCACTTGCGGAGAAAGACGCGGAAGGTGGGAACAGGCGCGTCAGCTGGCGGTGCGCCGCGAAGCAGTGTTGAGCGACGGATTGCATGGCTGGCGGTAAGTGCGGCGCGGCTGGTTCAACTGTGGTCAGTGCGCGGGTGCGGTAAGTGCGCTGGTGCGTAAGTGTACGAGCGCGGTAAGCGCGCAAGTGCGGTAACTGTAGGGACCTCTGCACAGAAGGCAACCTATGTTTGCTTGGCGCTGATTTGCCTGGTGCGTATAGAAGAACCGTTAAAACAATACTCCCTACAAGTTGTTTGACCCTCGCTTATGCTAAAATTAACACAAATGTAACATTGCCCTGCCAAGAATGCAATTATACATTCGGCATCCAATAAATAGACAATAAGACAGACTAATTCGTCTCAACATCATCGTTTGCATTCCCAAGCTGCACAACAACGCTCCCACCTGCAAAATCAGAACAAATTTGGGTAAGAGTGAGTCTCACAATGATAGGTAGAGTCAGCGGAGGGTGATGAATGCACCAGCAAAGCATACATGGGTTCCCTCTTACCAAAAATCATAGCTGCTCCAATATAGCTTAAAGTGGTCCACTCTTCATGAAGAACAATTGTAGCCAAAACGGCGGAATAGAGCGGGTCGAGAGTGTATATCACTGCCGCATCAGATGCCGCCACATGCCGGAATGCCAAAATCTGGATAGCAACAACAACAGAACCCGGAATTTGTTAGCACAAACATCTCAAATTAGGTAGCCTAACGGTCACTCACACACATGAAGATTTTTGGGAATTCTCACCTCAAGCCAGAGGCAAAGTGCCGTAGAAACAATGCCAGTGTACGCCATTTGCAACCAGGGCCACGTGCTCGCTTGTGACACTAATCTCGTTAGCTCCTCAGGCGATGGGAAGACACCAATTGGTGCTGTGGCCGCCCCTGCTGCTGCTGCTGCAGTTGTTTCTGCTAGTGCTAAGCTGTCTGGTTGAAGCCCTGTGGCGCTGGTGATGGCCAGGCCTATGGCAGCACAGCATGCCACAGTGAATATCTGGTGTGGTGGGAGACAGAAAGATGGGGGAGTGGACACTGGAGGTAACATTTTCACGAAAGCTCAGGCACGAGTTGAAGCCCTGTTATGAGTGTATGTCTCTGATCAATAGACAACACGAAGCCCTGTTATGAGCTGATGTCTCGGATCAAAAGACAACACTGCAGCATGTGAAGGCACACCTGTTCTCGTCTAATTATACGTTACCACCAACATTTTATCAGTAGGAATCATAGGCACCTGCCAAATCCTCTGCCTCCAACAACCCTTATCCAAAAACTGCATGGCCACCTGCGAAATGCTTTCCCTCACATGATCGCAGGGAGGGAAAGCATCTCGCATGACCCCCCCCTCTCACCCGCCCCTCTCCTCATCCGCCCCCTAGATCCCCCCCTCATCCGCCCCCTAGATCCCCCCTCATCCGCCCCCTAGATCCCCCCTCATCCGCCCCCTAGATCCCCCCTCATCCGCCCCCTAGATCCCCCCTCATCCGCCCCCTAGATCCCCCCTCATCCGCTCCCCCAGTCCCTCTCATGCGCCCCTCAGCCTACCTGCATGGAGATGAGGTCGAGGGTCGCAGTGGGTGGCACTTGCTTGGCAAACTGATTCGACCGAATGATTTGGAACCCAAAAGCCATGGCGCTCAGCAGAGCCAGACCGTCGCCCACCTGAGCAGAACGATGCATGGCATGGCACAGAGGGGAAGAATGGGGTGCATTGGATTGGATCGTGTTTTGAGAATTCTCAAAACTCATCCTGAGCAGAACGGTGCATGATGGCACAGAGGGGAACGGTGCATGATGGCACAGAGGGGAACGGTGCATGATGGCACAGAGGGGAACGGTGCATGATGGCACAGAGGGGAACGGTGCATGATGGCACAGAGGGGAACGGTGCATGATGGCACAGAGGGGAACGGTGCATGATGGCACAGAGGGGAACGGTGCATGATGGCACAGAGGGGAACGGTGCATGATGGCACAGAGGGGAACGGTGCATGATGGCACAGAGGGGAACGGTGCATGATGGCACAGAGGGGAACGGTGCATGATGGCACAGAGGGGAACGGTGCATGATGGCACAGAGGGGAACGGTGCATGATGGCACAGAGGGGAACGGTGCATGATGGCACAGAGGGGAACGGTGCATGATGGCACAGAGGGGAACGGTGCATGATGGCACAGAGGGGAACGGTGCATGATGGCACAGAGGGGAACGGTGCATGATGGCACAGAGGGGAACGGTGCATGATGGCACAGAGGGGAACGGTGCATGATGGCACAGAGGGGAACGGTGCATGATGGCACAGAGGGGAAGGACAGGGTGCATTGGCTTTTTAAGTCGACTCAAACGTCATCCTGAGCAGAACGGTGCATGGCATGGCACAGAGGGAAAGAGCGGAGTGCATTGGACCGTCAACTATGTGAAAACCGACCCATGTGCCCCTCAGGACGTGGTGCCGAGCATTCCCAAAGGCATTGAACACAAGAAGTTGCACACATGGCAGGATGGGAATGCAGAGCGAGAGGACTACAGGGGTTGGTTGGCGTTGGTACTTCCAGCTAGTGTATTGAGTGACACACACGACCCGACCCCATGAGCGGAAGACTTTTGAGTCGACTCAAAAGTCAACAGGGGTTGGTTGGCACTTCCAGCTAGCGTATTGAGTGACACACATGACCCGACCCCATGAGCGGAGGAGCGAACGTTGAAAGCATGTACACCAAGGAGAGGGAGTGATTATGAATTCTTTTCTACCATCTCTCCAGCCGGGATGCTTCTGTAAATTTTCCAGGGTTGAGAGTACGAGTGGACTCACGAGCGTGGAGGCTTCAGAGTTGGCTTCGAGGAGGAGAACGCCAGCAACGGCGGAGGCAGTGGCAGCCCACACGAGGGGAGGAATGCGCGCCCCCAGCAGACCCGCCACCAGCGGCACCTCTATCATCTGCCCCGCAGATCAGGCGACAGAGCAACCACATAACAAGCAACAAACAACAGACAACAAACACACAAGATGCAGAGCAGACCAGATCAACATGCCATGAATGAAGTGGGCCACGCACCAAAAGACTCATGAAATTTCGGGTTTTAGCTACCCGCAGACAGGCAGTAAGTGGTTCGGTTGGAGGAAGCTAAGGTGGTGAACAGCATTACCGTGAAGGTGCTGATGAAGGAAACGCGGCCAGCGCCAGTGGTGATGAGAGCGAAGGCCTGGGAGAGGTACGCCAGAGACGTCCACAGGCCCATCTCGATGCCGCAGCGACGCACGGCGGGGTTGGAGAGGGCGGCGGGGAGCAGCGGAGAGAGCGCGAGTGCTGCGATGGCGAAGCGACCCAGACAGAACTGCAGCGGCCCTCCCGCGGCTTCCTCTGCTCCCTTGACGATGGTGGTGTTGGTGGCTGCGTGGGAGGGCGTGGGTGAAGGGAAAAGGACATGGGAGGAGCATGCTCTCAGTCGATTAGGACCCCGGGAGCCGTTGCGTTGCGAGAATGGAGGACCGCTAGGGATAACACCATTCGTGCATGGTCGTATAAACGGCAATGCTACTGCCAGTGCCAGGCCGCACGTACAGTAGAGCATGGTTACGACGTTGAGGACAATCAGACCGCCTGCTCAAGTGGTAACCACCCTGGCGAAGTGAGGCGATGTTTTAGGCGCCTCAAAAATCGCCTCACTGCAGGCCGCACGTACCGTAGAGCATGGTGACAACGTTGAGGACGACCAAACCGCCTGCTCGAGACGTAACCACCTTCGTGAAGGCTTCAGCAGCCCTCTCCATCAACAGCGGCACCAATTCCGTGATCGACCGGGATACATTGTCCTTCTCTGCGTTCTTCTCTGTGGCTTCCTTCGCTCGTTCCTCCTCATGCAGAGTCACTCCCACGGCTATGGTGGAAGTTGCTTCTAGCGATACGTACGGCTTCTCAGACTCTGAGGCTTGTACTGAAGGTGGTTGAGAATCATTTACTAAGAGCGGATCAGCAAATTCATCATGCAGCTCCGCTTCTGGCATGTTGCCAGGTAATTCAGCTGACTCTCCAGCCTCGCTGGTTGAGGAAGCTTGTTTTCCTGATTGAGAACTTTCGACGCTGACGCGGCATTGGAAAATTCCGGCGTTTCTGAATGCGCTCGTGGAGTTCCCAAGGCTTTTGCGATGTGACACGCGTCGTAACGGGTCGAAGGCAGGAGGTCGTAACCGCGTGCATAATTTGCGGGTTGGCGTAACAAATCCGCATGGCTGCTGAGCAGCACCGGCTTTTACGGAGGAAAGTCTAGATTCATGACGGCTTGGTGGACACGAGGGGAAGCCTATGCTGTCTACATGCTGCACTATCCGGATTCTTTTACTGAATTTCGTGCTTGATAGGGACGGGTCAGAGAGAGCCATTGGAGGAGAAAAGAATGGCGTTATCCCAGACCTGTACGCGGTATCAACTGATCCGTAACCTGCTATCCCTCGAGAAGATCGCGCAACGCTGACGGTTGCATGACACCTTAGAGTCTCAGCGTGTCAGCATTTGCGCCCATGACGGCCTGGTGGCTTGCATGACCCGCTTTTATCATCAGAGTCTATCGCGGCCTCGGATGTGCATGAGCCAATTTCACTCTACACGCGAAGTGGCAACGTGTGATCAACCACTTATTACGGAAGTCCAAGGTTGAAGTGAAGTGGCCTGTGAACGACGATTCAACTTTTGTGCCTTGGGTTCAGTTTCCGAACCGAGATAAGCGAGGCAAGTAGCCGTTGCTGTTGGGTTTTACATTCCCGAGGCGTCGGGTGGGCCTGGTACAAATGTTCTTGCTTAGAGTCCCGGTAAAAAACACACGCGCTGCGGGCCTTTGTGGAAAAGCCTTCAAACCCCAGGCAAACGGGACCCTATAGTCCCATTTTCAGTAAAACTGCATGGAAGTCGGTTTGGCTTCGCTACTAGTTGTTGTTTTCTGTCATATACGTATCATTCGGAATGCGCTTGATTCAACTTCTCGTCGCAAGGTTCTCCCCGTTGATCAATGTTGCACGAAAGACGGGCAGATTAAACAAAATCGGTAATGTTTGATGACTTGATGAAAGGAAATATAGTTCGTTTTTGCCTGTCATCGTCGAGCGCGAGGTGAAATTCTCGACGGGATTTAGAAGCAAGCGCGGTCAAGAGAAATAATCAGAAATAGCTTCCAAAGTAAATATGGAAGCAAAATGTCCTTCTCTTACATTTTCCGGGGTTGGTTCGATTTGGGCCCTCCGATTGGCTGCGGAACTGATCCGCAGTCAAGCTGCAAAATTTCCCGCTAAAAACGGGACTGTAGAGGAGGGGCTACACCTAGGACAAACACGAAAAATCCACACGACGGGGAAAATGAACTCTCTTAGGAAGGACTTCAAAGCCAGAACATCTGTACTGCATGGAGGTTTTTATGGGCGTCGCCTCGCCTCGCCAGTTGTGTTGCAGGAGCGAGTGAGAGACGGAGAGAGAGCGCTGGTGGTTGGGGTCGCCTCGGGATTGGCGCTTCACAGAGCGAGAGGTCGCGCAGCGCATCATCACAGATCACCCTCTCCATTGAGCAGCACAATAAAGGCTAGTGTACACATCATACGAGTGTACAGCGCACAGTGAGATACAAATAGGATTTTTTGCGTGTGTGTTTCTCCTGCAGTCGGAAAAAGTGTCAGCACGAATCCAGTCAGAGCGCAAATCACCCTCGTCGTAGTCACAATCGGCGGGAACGCCTGTTTTCAAACCCTTTTCCGGGGAACCATAGATATTTCTCAGGCTTTTACTTCGTCCCTCCTGTCATAACCTCCTATTTCAACGCTATTCCTCATGGCTCTGCATAGATGTGGCTATGCCTAGATGCGGCTAGGAACTTTTCCAAATTTTGCGGGACGAACTACGATAGTATCATTTCGCTCAGCCTGAGATTTGATTTCCGCTGGGAATCTTCCCTGGTTGCTTCACGATGCCTCTCTTCCTAACGGAAGAGGAGTTGCAGGCGGTGGATGGCGATGTCAGGGCCGTTGCGAGGAAGGCGGAGGAGCAAATAGGTTCGCTCCTCCGGCAAATAGAGACGCACAAGGCACAAGCGGATGCAGCGGAGATAAACGCGGAGCAGACGTGCTCGCTGATCGAGCAGAAGTACCTCGCGGTGACGGACGAAAACGCGCAGCTCGAGCGCGAGAAGGGATTCCTCACCGCGGATCTCGATCAGAAAGCCGCCGAGCTCGCGGAAATTAAGGCGCAGGTTCATCGCCTGCAGCTGGAGGGGGTATGTCTCCCAGGCTCCTCGCATCCGTGAAGTTATTTTGAGCCGGTTCATTGTCACCTAAATTACGAATCGCGAAATAGTTACTATCCGGACGTTTCGGCTGGCTTCTATGGACTTTCAGGTCGTTTAAGGTTTTTATTGTTTATTCGATTTTGCAGATTCAGGGGGATGGCGAGAGGGAGAGGCTGAAAGCGGAGCTGGCGGAGGCGCAGACGGGTCGGCGGGACCTTGTGGACGTGATCGAGCGGAAGAACCTCGAGATTGACGAGAAGAACGCGTCGCTCAAATCGTATCTGGACAAGATCGTGAGTCTGAGTCGGATGTCCTGTTTAGAGCGGTAATCAGTGCCTACGGCTGCATTCGACCAACTCTGATGGCGCTTCGTGCGAAATTAGAATTTTCGCACGCGTGTTGTGCACTGAATATTTCGATTTGATTGCATTTCTGTTCGATATTGTCTCAGGTCTCCCTGACAGATTCGCGGACTGAGTTGGAGGGTCGGCTGAGGAAGGCCGAGGCAGAGGCGTCCCGCTGCAAGGCCGCCGTTAACCGCCACGTGCAGGTGCGACAGACGAGTCCCTAGTCCCTCTTCTTCTTCCATGTGTATGCACGTCTCATCCAGCAGTAATCCGATACTATACTATACATCCTCAACTATTGTTCATCTCCCAGCTCTTCCAGCATCTCCGTGAGTGCGGGCATCCGACCGTGAGTGCGGGTATCCGAGGTTGCTTCTCGTTTATTCCGATCGTTTTTCCCCCGTGGCCTGGCCTCAGGAGAATGGGATCCTGCAGCTGGACCCTCATGGCTGTTCTGTTCGTTTATTCCCTCCCTTTCCCCCCCGGGCTCAGGAGGAGATTCTGGAGGAGCACCTGGCGTGGCTGGCTGCTTTTGAGACGTTTCGAAGGTTCCTGTGCTCTTGGTCGTTTGTTCCCCACTTTTTTCTCCGTGTGACTGTGAGCGCAGGAGAAGGAGATTCTGGAGGAGCACCTGGCGTGGCTGCGTTTGAGAGGTCTCAAGGCTGCTGCCCTCCTAAATTTTCGTTTTCCCCCTCGTTTCCGTCCCTCGTTTTCCACTGTGACTGCAGGAGAAGGAGATTCTGGAGGAGCACCTGGCGTGGCTGCGGGAGGACGTGGCGGGGAAGGCGGGCGCGCTGCAGGAGGAGAGGCGCGCGCGCGCGGAGGGGGAGGCGGAGCTGCGCAGCAAGCTGCTGGGCGCGGAGCACGAGCGCGACGACCTGCGTGCTGCTGAGGCGCGCGCCCAGGCGCGCGTGGCGGAGCTGCAGGGGATGGTTGCTCAGCTGCAACAGGTGGGTCAACCGAACAGATGCTTCTTTGCTCTTTTACTCTACTCGTTTCTCTTTTCCTTCAAACATAGCTGAAGAGATACATTCGTGGCTACCACTGAGTGATAGTTGGTGATTGTTCACTGGCATAATGCGTGGTGTGCTTTCTGGCCGGGGCTCTGGTGGTACTCCATCCATCCATCCATCCATCCATCCATCCATCCATCCATCCATCCATCCATCCATCCATCCATCCATCCATCCATCCATCCATCCATCCATCCATCCATCCATCCATCCATCCATCCATCCATCCATCCATCCATCCATCCATCCATCCATCCATGACGTTGTTGTCTGCAGGAGGTGAAGAAGCGAGCAGAGGAGGAGGCGCTTCACGAGAGCCAGCTGGCGGCCGAACTGGAGACTGTGAGTGCTGCGGGTGAAGCTGTAGTGCTTTTGTGGAGGCTGTTGTGTTGTGTGCGAGTGCTGTGCTGCTGCCGAAGGTGTAGTGGGTGCTGTTGAAAACGCGCGACCCTGGCTGGCTGGTGCTTTCTTTTTCAAACGATTTGCTGTCTGTTGGCGACGCTTCAGTATGTTCCAGCATTTACCTGAGTTCTTTCTGGCGTGCTGCTCCCACCTCTCCCCACCACACACCAGGGGAAGAAGCTGGTGGAGCTGTACAAGGAGAGTGCAGCGGAGGCGGGTGAAATGAATGTTGCGCCTCTTGAGAAGCAACTCTGCCGCTCCCTCCCGCGGCCCAACACACACGCTCACTCTCACACACACACACCCCTCTCCCCTGTTTGCCACACCAGGCGAAGAAGCTGGTGGAGCTGTACAAGGAGAGTGCAGCGGAGGCGGGTGAAATGAATGTTGCGCCTCTTGAGAAGCAACTCTGCCGCTCCCTCCCGCGCCCCAACACACACGCTCTCTCTCTCACACACACACCCCTCTCCCCCGTTCGCCACACCAGGCGAAGAAGCTGGTGGAGCTGTACAAGGAGAGTGCAGGGGAGGCAGGCGAACGGGCGGCAGACCTTAAGGGTGTTGTCAAGTCTCTTGAGGTCAGTCGCATGCCTGTACATTGACCAAACTCTCATCTCGAACTTGTATTGTATGCATCCTCTCGCCCGTCCACTATTGAAAGAATCTTGACTCAGTGTTTGAAACCGGGTCAAATTTTCATCCTCTGTCACGTGCCCTTTTCGGAAATCCTTGAATCAGACTGAAAAGGCACTTTGCGTTCTGTCATTCTGTATCTGCGTCACCCCCACCTGTGCTTTCCTCAGGATCATCTGAAGCAAGTGGAGGACGAGGGCGAGAGTCGGGTCAAGGCAGCGGAGGAGGCAGCAGGGAAGCAGCAGCAGGAGCTGCAGAGGCGCTGTGATGAGCTGCAGAAGAGTCTTGACGAGGCCAACAAGAAGGCTGCTGCTGCCACTGAGGCAGCTGCCGCTGCAGCAGCAGCTGCTGGCGCTGGTGGCTTGGACCTTGTGCCTGCTGCTCTCCCTGCTGCTGCTGGCCCCATCCAGCCCCTGTAAGTCTTTTCATCAGGTTGCAGAAGGTTAAAGATGCTGGCGGCTTGGACCCCTGCTGCTCTCCCTGCTGCCTCTGGCCACATTCAGCCCCTGTAAGTGCCTGCATCAGTTCGCAGAAGGCCAAAGCGGAGGGATGTTCTGTGTACCGCATCTTCTGGTGCTGGTGGCTTGAATGAAGCCTTAGCCGGCTACTCTGTTGTTCAAGTGTCATGACAGCCTTTGCTGGAAATGCTCAAGCTTTGTGCTCCGCCGCTTGTTTGTATCTTTTCCTTTTTCACATATTTCGCCTTTCACCCCCCACTCATCAATCCTCTTCACTCCCTCCCCCCCCCCCTCCTTCCCCATCACGCATGCAGGGACAGGCAGCTGGCAGCAGTGCTGCATGGGGGCGGCAGTGTGCCGCCAGCCCTGCCTCAGGGCGTCACGGGCGTGGCGCTCGCGTCATATCTCGTCAAGGACGGCTGGACGGTGGGTGAAACTACATGCTGCACTTCTGAGACTCTTGTGCTGCACTTCTGAGACTCTTGTGCTGCACTTCTGAGACTCTTGTGCTGCACTTCTGAGACTCTTGTGCTGCACTTCTGAGACTCTTGTGCTGCACTTCTGAGACTCTTGTGCTGCACTTCTGAGACTCTTGTGCTGCACTTCTGAGACTCTTGTGCTGCACTTCTGAGACTCTTGTGCTGCACTTCTGAGACTCTTGTGCTGCACTTCTGAGACTCTTGTGCTGCACTTCTGAGACTCTTGTGCTGCACTTCTGAGACTCTTGTGCTGCACTTCTGAGACTCTTGTGCTGCACTTCTGAGACTCTTGTGCTGCACTTCTGAGACTCTTGTGCTGCACTTCTGAGACTCTTGTGCTGCACTTCTGAGACTCTTGTGCTGCACTTCTGAGACTCTTGTGCTGCACTTCTGAGACTCTTGTGCTGCACTTCTGAGACTCTTGTGCTGCACTTCTGAGACTCTTGTGCTGCACTTCTGAGACTCTTGTGCTTTTTGTGCATGTGTTTTCTTGTCGCTGTGGCCAGCCCCGCGCTGCCTTGCACCTCCATGCTCGCCTTCCTCCGCCCGCCCTCGGTCTCATCAGTGTGTTCTCTCTCATTCTGCCCCTGTGTGATGTTTCCCTCCGTGCATGTATGCACGTGTCCAGTCCAGCTGGCAACAGTGTCCGAGAGTACCAGGAAAAAATATTCTCTCAAGCTGACTCGATATGTCTCTAAAAAAAATATAAAAAAAGGGCCTCATTGTCTTTTCGTGCCTGCCCGTCCGTCCGCGTGCAGATGGCAACGATGTATGAGAAGTATGAGGAGGCAGCAGATGCATGGCGCCACGAGAGGCAGCAGCGGCGACAAGCAGAGACCCTGCTCAACAGGGTGAGAGATGAAGAGTATTTGTGGGAAGAGGAGTGATATATTGATTAAGGTGGTACCCCCTCCCATTGGTTTGAGTCGCCTGCAACCTGTGGCCGGCCGGTCGGCTGGCTTGTGTATCCTGCATACCTTGGGGTGATTCTGCAATCCACCCTCTTACGCACAATCTCTTCCATGCACACACATGCACACGTGCACGCACCAGGTGTTGAGGGAGATAGAGCAGAAGGCAGGGGTGGTGCTGGAGGAGCGTGAGCAGCATGGCCCCATGTGTGATGCCATGAAGGACAACCCACCCTCCCACCCACCCACTCTCCTCCCTTACCACCCCACACCACATCTCCCCACAAAACGCACCAGGTGTTGAGGGGGATCGAGCAGAAGGGGGGAGTGGTGCTGGAGGAGCGAGAGCAGCCCGTTCTTGGTGTGACAACCCACCCTCCCACCCACTCTCCCCTTACCCCAACCCCCCCTCCCCCCCCCCCCCCCCGGCGCACCAGGTGTTGAGGGAGATAGAGCAGAAGGCAGGAATGGTGCTGGAGGAGCGAGAGCAGCATGCACGCATGGCCCGTGCATACGACGTCATGCAGGACAAGCTGGCGCTGGCTGCGGATCAGCAGGCTGCTGTGGAAGCATCGTTGGCTGAGTGCAGGGTGAGCAACTTTTCCTGACTCAGGTGAAAGGGAAGGGAACTGGGGCGCGTACGACTTTAATGCAGGACAAGCTGGCTCTGGCGGCGCACCAGTAGGCTGCTGTGGAGGCATCTTTAGCGGAGTGCAGGGTGAGCAGTTGCCTGCGGTGCGGTGCGGTGCTTGAGTCAAGTAACAGGGATTGTGGAGAAGGTTGGTGGGGTTAGAATGCATGGCACGTGCATACGACGTCATGCAGGACAAGCTGGCACTGCCTGCGGATCAGCAGGCTGCTGCAGAGGAGGCATCTTTTGCCGAATGCAGCGAGAGTTGGTCTCTGTCACTGTGGAGTGGAGTGGAGTGTAGCAGCAGCAGCACGTGTGTATGGCCCGTGCATATGACACCATGCAGGACAAGCAGGCTTCAAGCAGCGGATCAGCTAACAGTTAAACAGTTGCGACGGTTTCAGTTCTCAGAGCGTGCGTGATTGCATGTTTGCAGGTGACGTCCACTCTACAGCCATGGTTCTCGAGGCGCCTCAAAAACCGCGAGACATGAGACGACTTTTGAGGCGCCTCAAAAATCGCGAGACATGAGACGACTTTTGAGGCGCCTCAAAAACCGCGAGACATGAGACAACTTTTGAGGCTCCTCAAAAGTGGTTTCAGGTCTCAGAGCGTGCATGATTGCATGTTTGCAGGTGACGTCCACTCTACAGCCTCGGTTCTCAATGTTCCTTTCCCTTGCAGCGTATGCTTTGGGACGTTTAACCTCATGCCCCAACGTCACCCCCCCCTCCCCGCCGCCCGGTTTAATCCATCGTGTCTCATTATCAGGCGGAGCTGCGTGCAAGGGAGAGGGACGTGAGCCTGCTGTCCACCGATGTGGCAGACCTGCAGAGCCAGGTGCAGTGGGTGTGGGGGATGGGGAGCGGGGAGCGGGGTTTGGGTGGGTCGAGTTTAGATGCGCCTCAAAAGTCGTGCAGGGAGAGGGATGTGAGCCTGCTGTCCATCGATGTGGCAGACCTGCAGAGCCAGGTGCGGTGCAGTGCAGTGGGCAATGGGTGGGGAGTGGCGGGTGGGTGGGTGGGTGGGTCGAGTTTTGAGGGGCCTCAAAAGAGGAGAGGGACGTGAGCCTGCTGTCCACCGATGTGGCAGACCTGCAGAGCCAGGTGCAGTGGGTGTGGAGGATGGGGTGGTGGGTGGGTCAGGGTCTTTTCCGTGAATATGTCCTCCTCAACCTAGAAGCAGAGCTCCATTTGTTGCCCGTAGGAGGAACCTTAACACCACAATCGAATTGGAGTATTTGGAGTAAACTCAATCGGTCTTGCTTGCCTGCCTATGTTGTTTCTTGCTGTTTTCTTTACCACCTCTTTCTCCCTCTTGCCTCCTTGTATTTCTCTTGTTTCCATCCACCCCTCTCAGGTGACGGTGCTCCTAAAGGAGCTGAGGGATGTGAGCATGCAGCGTGCCAATAACGAAGCCACTGCTCCGCCCACCCCGCCACGGCCCTCCTCGTCAGACTTCGTCTCCGTGGAGCAGGTCAGCGAAGGAAGGGGGGAAGGGAGAGAGGAGGGGGAGGGGGGAGCAGTTTAAAATGTTTTTTTTTTTTAAGAAAACCTCGCAGGTCCTTCACCTGAACTCTCTCAAGCCCCCTGCTCTGTCGATGCGCTTCAGCAGTGGACTGACTGACCATCACGGTCATCAGGTCCCTGATCGATTTTTGAGGCGCCTCAAAAGCCATCACGGACATCAGGGCCCTGGTCGTGATGCAAGCAAACACGGCTCTTTGCTGCGCCCTGTAACAGCTCAGTTGTCCCTGTAACCCCTGTAACGCTGCACGCCTCTGCGATGCGTCTGAACGTTGTCAAACCCCTTCTTGCCCTGCTCCTCCTACCCGTCTCTGCAGCTGACCATCACGGACATTGGGGGTCTGGTGCAGGCCAACACGTCGCTCCGCCACGCCCTGCATCAGAATGCCCCAGTTACAGTCAGTGTTAAATACCCTCGAACCTCCCTTCCCTGCTCCCTCCACCCGTCCGTTTGTGCAGCTGACCATCACGGACATTGGGGGCCTGGCGCAGGCCAACACGTCGCTCCGCCACGCCCTGCAGAAGCTGCGTGCCCTTTATACACTCCTCGTTTAAACCCTTCCAATCCCCTTCCTGCCCTGCTCCGTCTACCCATTTGTCCAGCTGACCATCACGGACATTGGGGGTCTGGTGCAGGCCAACACTTCGCTCCGCCACTCGCTGCAGCAGCTGAATGCCCCTTTTAGTTCGTTTGTTGACTCTTCCGAAATACCCTTCCTGCCCTGCCCCCTCTACCCATTTCTCCAGCTGACCATCACGGACATTGGGGGTCTGGTGCAGGCCAACACGTCGTCCCACCATGCCATGCAGCAGCTGAATGCCCCTTGCACAATCGTCCTTGTATTCTCTCGATCCCTTTCCTACCCCGCTTCCTCTACCCGTCTGTGCAGCTGACCATCACGGACATTGGGGGCCTGGTGCAGGCCAACACGTCGCTCCGCCATGCCCTGAGGAAGCTGCAGGACGACTACAGCACCCTGGAGCCGCGGGTCAAGGTATGTGAACACCGTGTGCATGACAGAATTGACTCTTGGGTCAAATTGACTCTTGGGTCGATGCAAGAGCCACCTCATGCCAACATGTGTCGCTCCGCCATGCCCTGCGGAAGCTGCAGGATGACTACATACAGCTCCCTGGAGCCACGGGTCAAGGTGCGCTATCATGTGGCATACAAAGAACGACTGTTTTTTCTGGGAAGAGGGAAGTTGCCTTGTGTTTACTGTGTTACAGTCAGGATAATACAAAGTCTCAATCTCTTCCAGCTGGTTCTGCCTTCATCAGCACTGCTCAGTCTAGTTCACATGCCCCCTGCCATCTATGAGCCCCAAATTCATTTACTTTGTGCTTGTGCTGTGAGCAGGCTCGGTTTGAGGAGGAGCTGGAGAGGCGGGCAGCAGCAAACGCCAAGGAGGTGGAGCGGGTGGTGGGCATGTACAAGGAGCAGGAGGAGCTGGCACAGAGGCACAAGGCTGCTGTGAGTACTGCTCCCCTTTGAGTAAATGCATGAAATTTTCAGAACAGCAAACGCCGAGGAGGTGGAGCGGGTGGTGGGCATGTTCAAGGAGCAGGAGGAGCTGGCGCAGCGCCACAAGGCTGCTGTGAGTGCTCTGCCCGTTGCCATTTTTCTTCCTTCTCAGGCCTTCGCTGTCGTGTTGTCCCTCTGCTCATGCTCCCCGTTATTGTTGCCTTGCCGTGTTGACTCGCCGCCCTGTGTTCCTGGTCCCATGTCCCCCTCACCACCTCCTACTCCCCCCTCCCCTCGATCGACCTCCTCCAACCCCTCACCCTACCAGCACGACATGTTCAAGATGCTGTATGACAAGCAGCAGCAGCGCATGCGCGCGCCATGGCATGAAGCATCGCGTCTAGTTCACCCTCTCTCCCATTGTGTCCTCCACTCCCCCACACCCCTCACCCCACCAGCACGACATGTTCAAAATGCTGTATGACGAGCAACAGCAGCGAGTGAGGGCCCTGGCATCAGGCACCGCTGCTGCTGCCCCCGGTGCTGCTGGTTCTCCAGCAGCCAAGGGAGTGCTTGCCGTGCCCATGCTCTCCTCCCCTCCCCCTGATGGTGAGTTGATTCGTGTGAGGTGAGTGGTGGTGAGTCGTGTGATGGCATCTCCCTATTCAGTCCCATACGTGATTGCGCCTTTTCCCATAAGTGGATATTTTGGATGGAGTAATCATCACTTGCTGTATAGCCAAGCAGGTTCTGTTAAGTAGCTGTTGTTCCATTCCATTCACTGTTCAATATGCTGCATTGGGCTAAAGGTGTGCCACCCTTCATGTATGCTTCATCTCTGCTTCTCTTTGCCTTTTCTTCTGCCGCTGCCTGCCCTCTTTTCTGCCGCTGCCTGTCCTCGTTTCTACCCTCGTGCTCCATCCCCCTCGATGGCAGGTCCGGACTACAAGACTCTCTACACAGCAACGCAGGTACCCCACAGCCCATCATCTCACTCTCCTGCTTCCTTGTCTCGGTGTCTCTGCTCCCCTCCCTCCGTTCCTCATTGTTCTAGACATGCTTTTTCCGAAGTTCTTTGCGCATACCGAGTGAATGTTTGAATGCTTCTGCTGGATGAACAGTCTACTCCCTCACTCGCGATTTTTTCTTCTGACCATTTTGTGTTTGATGTTTTTCCATGTGTTTCTTACCGTCCTTCATGTGATGCCACCATATCATTCCACGACACCACCACGCGACCATGCCACCATCCGGCCTGGCATGGGAGCAGGAGGAGCTGGAGAGGCTGCGTCAGGACCGCAAGCAGCACATGGACGAACTGCAGGAGGCCCTTGATGCTGCCAGGTGGGGTTCGCACTTCACCACACCACCATGCCATCACACCATCACACGCTGCCATACCAGCACTCCCCCGTGCTGCCATTGCACCATGCAACCACGCACCTCACACAAGCAGCACATGGACGAATTGCAGGATGCTCTCGATGCTGCCAGGTGGGGACTGCATTGACTCCTGCTAGGAAGCTTAGGAGGTGCGTGTGTCACGGTAGTGCCCCCGCTAGGTGGTGACACTGTGAGCATCCAATCGCCACTAGCTGTAGAGACATTGGCACTAGCACCCAATTGCCACAGTCTCACACTAGCGTTGGCACAAGCACCTAGTTGTGTCTAGTCTGGTAACGTCTCGGCTAGTAGTGCTTGTGCCAACGCTTTCTGATACCTTTGGTGTTTGTGTGATGTGCATGCGTGTCGCATGTTTGTGTGTGTGGGTGGGTGCATGCGTGCATGTGTGCTTGGGTGCACTGTGCATGCATGGTTGGATGCTGCATGGATGCGTGTGTTGGTGCGTGCACAATCACAGGAAGGTGGCGAGTGAGTCGCGAATGGAGCGCATGCGAGCGGAGGCAGAGACGCAGTTCACCAAGCAGCAGGCAGAGGCACTCGAGAAGACACTGGAAGAGGAGGTGAGATGTGGTGTCATGGGACGGAGGGATGGCGATAGGAGGGCGTCGCTGAGTGATTGTGATAGTGATTTTGATCGTGATTCTGATTGGTGTGTTTGTGAATGTACTGCTTCAGCATTATTCGACTGCAACAATACTGCAGTAGGGCTATAATCTACTGACTGAGTGCTTCCTCATCCTCGCTTCCTCCCCTCCCTACCCTTCTTCCCGTTCTCCCCCCCGCAGCGCAAGGTGAAAGATGCAGCAGTGGCACGCAGCAGTGAGTTCGCAGCGTCGGTGACGGCGCACCAGAGGCAGCTGCGGGATGCTGAGAGGCTGCTCGCTGCCGCTGAGGAAAAGGCTACCCGTGCAACTATTGAGGTGAGAGAATGCTGTGTCTGAGTGTGCACTGCAATGTGCTTGATTTGATTGTGGGGGGGAGGAGGGTGGGGGGGTTCTGTGTGGCCCCCTTTCCACAGGCGTGTGATTTTCTGAGTCCTCGCAAAATGTCAGTGGTAATGAGAGAACTTTTGAGAATTCTCAAAAGCTCAATCTGAGTCCTCGCAAAATTCATCTGGTGTGATGAGGGAAGAGCCTGCTGGCCGCAGCAGAGTCCAGAGGCAGTGGTAGTGGAGTGGGGCAGGTGCTTGTTCAGCCTAATTTATACGAATCTCTTTGCCTCTCTCCCTGCAGGCATCAGTGTTGGAGCAAGAGAAGGCCCTCCTGGCAGCAGCAGAGGAGCGGGCGACAGCGGAAGCGGGGAGTGCGCTGGAGAGCTGTTCCGTCTTTCTTATACGCATTTCTGTGCCCTTTTCTCCACAGGCATCGGTGTTGGAGCGAGAGAAGGCTCTGCTTGCGGCAGCAGAGGAGCGGGCGACAGCGGAGGCGGGGAGTGCGCTGGAGAGGATGCATCGCGTGCAGGCGGCTCACGACTCACTGGAGAGCACCCAGGCTGCCCGCGAGGCCACGTGGGCCGCTGAGAGGAAGCGGCTTGAAGACTCCATTGACCGCATGCAGGTGGGCATTAACTGGGTCGACTTGGTTGATTTGGTTGGAGAGAATGCACCGCTTGTAGGCGACTCAGGACTCACTAGAGAGCACCCAAGCTGCCCGCGAGGCCACGCTGCTGAGAGGAAGTGGTTTGAAGAGTCCGTTGACCACATGCAGGTGAGCTTGAGTCGGGTGAATGTGCGCTCAGGGTGTTCTAGAGGTGATTCGAGTCAGTCTTGCGGGATACCCTTCTCGCCTCTCCTTTAGAGCATTCTTTGACAGATTTATCGTGTTGGCACCGGAGCTGTGCAGTCAAGATAGCAAGATTGCTGTTAAATGCTTGTTGGAAAAACTGGGTATCCCCAATTCCAGCTCCAACAGCAATCTTGTTATCTTGACTGCACAGCTCCGGTGCCAGCACGATAAATTTGTGAAGGAAGTCTTTAAAAGGGAGACGAGTAGGGTATCCCGCAAGACTGACTCGAATCGCCTCTAGAACACCCTTAGCGCACATGAGTCCACAAAGAGAGCAAATCAAATCAAGCATGCGAGTCGGGCACTTGAGGCTGAAAGAAACCACTCTCGACACCTGGTGGAGGCGAGAGAGGGCAGCAGCGGACGCAGAGGCAAGGCTGAGTGCAGCGTGGAAGGACGTGGAGCAACTCAAGCAGCAGCTGAGCGCTGCTGTTATCAGCTGGTGGCTGCTCGGGACAGTGCAACCCCCCTCCGTCTCTTATTTCCCATCTTCTACCGTGCCAATCTCCTTGTGTCTCCCTTTCCGCAGCGCGAGTGGGCGGAGGCCAGTCGGGCCCTGGAAGCAGAGTGGGACCACTCGCGACACCTGGTGGAGGCCAGGGACAGGGCAGCAGCAGATGCAGAGGCAAAACTGAGTGCCGCTTGGAAGGATGTGGAGCAACTCAAGCAGCAGCTCAGCGCTATTCTCCCCAGCTGGTGGAGACCTCTCATTTCTGCCTTATGCCCATCCCCTTGCTCCTCCCCTCCTGCAGCGCGAGTGGGCGGAAGCTAGTAGGGCTCTGGAAGCCGAGAGGGACCATTCTCGCCATTTGGTCGAAGCTAGGGACAAGGCAGCAGCAGATGCAGAGGCAAAGCTGAGTGCAGCTTGGAAGGACGTGGAGCAGCTCAAGCAGCAGCTCAGCGCTGCTGTCACCAAGGCCAAGACTGCTGAGGCGCGGTGTGAGGAGCTGCAGGCAGGTGTGAAGCGGTTGGAAGCGGTTGCGGCGGCTGCTGTTGCTGGTGGTGCGGGCGGGGGTGTGGGAGGGAGGAGCTTGAGATCGGCTTCGGTGAGGGATGCGGCGGCGGCTGCTGTGGCGGCTGCTGCTAGTGCTGCTGCCGTCGGTGGTGGTGCTGGTGCTGGGGCAGCTGGGGAGGCTGGGGCAGCTGCTGGTGCTGGTGCTGGTGCTGCTGGTACCGCTGGTGGTGGTGGGAAGGAGGGCGAGGGCATGGAGGAGGAGGACGTGGAAGAGCGGTTGCACAAGGCAGAGGAGGAGGTGCAGCGGCTCAAGGAGGAGCTGGAGGCGTCCCAGGGGTACCTGGCTCAGGTGGGTGTCTTGGGGGACTCGCATTGCATTTGGGGTTCGCTTGAGAAATCTCAAAGGTTGCACAAGGCAGAGGTGGAGGTGCAGCGGCTTAAGGAGGAGCTGGAGGCGTCCCAGGGGTACCTGGCTCAGGTGGGTGCTCAGGGCTCACATTCGAGGTTGTGCTGTGATTCGGTGTTTCATAGTTCGCTACCTCTTCAGAATTTCCAACTAGCGTTACATGGCTTGCTACCTGTCTCGCTTCCCACCCCGTCTTGGATGCCTACTCCCTTTGTTGTGTCCTTGTCGTGTTAGCCTGTGTGTCAGTGTGTGTGTGTGTGTGTGTGTGTGTGTGTGTGTGTGTGTGTGTGTGTGTGTGTGTGTGTGTGTGTGTGTGTGTGTGTGTGTGTGTGTGTGTGCGTGCGTGCGTGCGTGCGCGTGTGCGTGCGCGTGTGTGTGATTCCCACTTCCTCCTCTGCCTCCCACATCCCACTCTTCCTCTTCTCCCCCACATCTCTCCACCGTCACCAGTACAAGGCAATTGGAAAGGCCAACGAGGAAGCACTAGAGCGTATGATGCAGCAGCATAGCTCGTTCAAGGAGGAGGCTGAGAAAGAGCGAGCTGCAGCAGTGGCAGCAGCGGAGGAGCTGAGGGGGAGGGTGAAAGAGGCAGAGAAGCGGGCTGCAGATGCTGCGGCGGCGGCAACAGGGCTCACGGAGGAGCATGAGAGGGCGTTTGCTGATGTCAGCAAGAAGCTGGAGGCGGCTGCTGTGGAGAGAGACGCCTTCAGGTGGGTGGAGTGCAGTGGAGTGGAATGAGGTGGAGTGCGGTGGGATGGGATGATGTGGGGTGTTTGTGAATTCGTAGCAACAGCTTGCAGCGGCGGGGGCCACGGGGCTCACGGAGGAGCATGAGGGGGCGTTTGCTGATGTCAGCCGCAAACTGGAGGCGGCTGCTGTGGAGCGGGATGCCTTCATGTGTGTGGAGTGGGGTGGAGTGTGGTGGGGTGGGTCGGAGTGGGTTAAGGTGGAGTGCAGTGGGATTTAGGGTTTAGGGTTGGGGTGGGATGGCTTTGAGAATTCTCAATAGCGGCTTGTCTCTGTCCGTGTGTCTCTATGCAGGGCGCGGGTGGAGGAGATAGAGTGGCGGGTGGAGTCAGAGGCAAAGGAGGCATCGGAGATGCGGCAGAAGTGGAGGGAGGCGCAGACCAACTACGAGCGACAGGTGGGTGCCACATGAGCGTTCGTGGCCCCCCCAAACGCCTCTGTATTCCGTTCTCAAAACTTGCAATTGCAACACTTCCGTCCTGGTCCATTTTTATCCTCACAACCTCTTCCTCCCCCCCCCCACACCACCCACCCACCGACCTCCAACCTCCCCTGCTCTCTCCCTCTGCGGCTCCTCTTGCCTCCCATCCTGCGTCTCCTCTTGCCTCCCCATCCTCCCCCTGCTGCAACCAGGTCGTGCTGCAAGCAGACACCATTCGCCAGCTGGACGGCGTGAGTCAGACGCTCAACGCCGCCCAGGCAGGGCAAAGGGAGTGGCGCAGCAAGGCAGAGAAGGCCGAAGCAGAGCTGACCTCCCTGCGGGCCGAGTGGGAGACAGTCAAGGGGGGGCTGGAGGCTGCACGGGCTGCTGCAGAGGGGAAGGCAAAGGAGGTGGAGGCTCAGAACGTGATTCTGCTGGACCGGCTCGAGGCGCTGCGTGTGGGGACGCCGGGGAAGGCGGGTGGGGTTGCTTCGCCTGGTGTGAGGAGGAGGAGATCGGTTGCTTCCCCGTCGCCGGGTAAGGTGTCTGGAGCAGTGGAGGGGACAGGAGAAGCTGGAGGGGGAGCGGGAGGAGCAGACGGAGGGGCGACGGCAGCAGCAGCGGAAGGGCAAGGGGAAGGGGAAGGGGGAGCGGGGGTGGGGGAGGACGGAGGGCTGGCGGAGCTGCAGGAGGTGGTTCGGTTCCTGCGGCGCTCCAAGGAAGCTTCCGAGATGGAGCTGGCTCTGCTGAAGCAGGAGCGGCTGCGGCTGACGAAACAGGTAGAGGCAGCAGAGAGAGAGGCACAGGAGGCACAGCAGCAGCTGAGAGAAGCGCGGGCGCGGGGGGCTGCGACGGCGCAATCTGAGGGGGAGTTTGCGGCGCTTAAAGCCCAAGTGGCGCAGGTGAATCTGCTGAGAGAGAGCAACGCGATGCTGAGGGATGAGAGCCAGAGGAACTTTGCGGATGCGGGCGAGTGGCGGGAGAAGGCGCGGCAGGCGCTGCAGCAGGTGGGGCCGCTGCAGGCGGCGGTGCAGCGGAGGGAGGCGGAGGTGGCTGCGGGGAAGAGGGAGGTGGAGAGTGCAAGGGAGGAGGCGGGGCGGTGGCAGCGGCGCGTGCAGCAGCTGCTGGAGAAGTACAAAGCGATTGATGTGGAGGAGTATCAACGGCTGCAGGACCAGCTGCAGGTCAAAGAGGTATGAGACACACAGGGTTCTGGCGCTTAGGGTTCTTCTAGGCTAGGCTTTAGGGCTATGTGGTTACAGAGTGCAGCAGCTGCTGGAGAAGTGTAAGGCGATCGATGTGGAGGAGTATCAGCGACTGCAGGACCAGCTGCAGGTCAAAGATGTGAGGGGGTGAGTGTGATCAGGGCAGGTGAAAGCTGTTTCTTTCCTCCTTTTCCTGCAACCCTTTCCAATTTAGAGTGGCCTTGCAGCGGCATAGGCAGTAGAAGCGACTCTTAAGGCGCCTTAATAGCTGAATGGTTGTCTTTCCTTCTTGTTTCTTTCCTGAGCAGAAGCAAGCGGAGCAGCTAGAGCAGGAGCTTTCAGAGGCGAGGGGTGCTCTGGCAGCAGCAAAGGCCGCAGCAGAGGCAGCAGAAAAGGACAAGGAGGCCGAGAAGAAACGGACGGCTGCTGAGCTGGCGGGGCTGGAGGCGCAGCTGGCAGCACTGGCAGCAGAGAAGGAGAAGGTGGAGAAGGAGCGGACGGCAGGAGGGGAGGAGCTGAAGAAGCAGCTGGAAGTGGCGAAGGAAAACGAGGTGAGTGGAGTAGGGGAGGAGAGTGGGCTGAGGGGAGTGCAGGGAGGAAAGTGGGGGTAGTGGTGGTGGAGAAGGAGAAGCTGGATATTGAGCGAACGGCGGGAGGGGAGGAGCTGAGGAAGCAGCTGGAAGCGGCGAAAGAGAACGAGGTGAGTCTTGGGAGGTCTCAAAGGTGCAGATTGCAGAGGCAGCGGGCTGCACTGGCGGAGAAGGAGAAGGTGGAGAAGGAGCGGACGGCAGGAGGGGAGGAGCTGAAGAAGGAGCTGGAGGCGGCGAAAGCAAACGAGGTGAGTGGGGTGGCGGAGGAAAGAGGGCGGCAGAGCAGGAGAAGCTGGAGAAGGAGAGGACGGTGGGAGGGGAGGAGCTGAGAAAGCAGCCGGAGGCTTCGAATGAAAACGAGGTGTGCAAGGGAGGGAGGAGACTGGGGGATGTGGGTTGTGGGTGGAACGTGAGAAGTTGAGAGTGGGAGGGGAGGGGAGAGCGGGAAGAGGGCAGATAGATGCAGATATGCGTATGAAACTTGTAAGCGTTTTTCTGTGTTTCCTTCTCGTTTTTGCTGTTATGTTAACCATTTCTATGTATCGTTCCTCTGTCTTGTGCGTGTGGAATGTGCGTCTGGGGTGTGGTGTGTGGTGGGATGGGGTGGGGTGTATGCTGTGTTGGGTGCGGTTCTGTGGTATGTGGGGTGGGGTGCGGTTTGTACTGTGCATGCGGTGGGGGTGCATGGCAGGCGAAGCACAAGACTGAGTTTGCCAAGCTCAGGAACACGGCCATCAAATTCAAGGTGCGCATTCCTTGCCTCCCTATCCTTAAATTTCCGGGTTTTGGAAAGTCATGTTAGAACTTAGGATGACTCGCTTTTCAGATGGTGGCCCTGCCCGTTTGAAAGCGAGTCATCCTAAACCCTGACATGACTTCTCAATACTTGACAATTCTTGGGCGGTGTTAGAGCTGGTTTAGAGTGTTTTCACGGTCTAGGTGCAGGTTCAGGGTCAATACCAGAAGGCCCAGTTCTCCGCATCTGTTTGTGTGCCTGTTTGTGTGCCTGTCTGACCCTTTTCGCCGTGGCAGCGCAATGGCGAGCAGCTGAGCAAGGAGAAGGAGGAGCTGCGGCAGGCCAAGGAGCAGCAGAGCAAGGAGGCAGAAGCAGCCAAAACCAAGGCAGCAGAGCTTGAAAAGCGCATCGCCGACCTCGAAAAGAAGCTCCAGACAGCCTCTGAGACGTCTCAGAAACGAGTGGCTGACCTGGAGAAGAGGCTTCAGGAGCAGGTGGCAGCGGGTGCAGCGGCCAGGAAGGCGGAGGAGGGGAAGAGTGCTGCGGAGGCTGCTTCTGGGAAGCAGCAGGCGGCGGTGGCAGAGGGGATCCTGAACTCCCGGATTCAGGTGGGTCCTCCATTCAGACAGAACCCCAAGCCATGTTTTGAGAAGTCTCAAAACAGGTGGGTCCTCCATTCAGACAGAACCCCAAGCCATGTGGGGGAGGCTTGAGTTACATAGTTGGTAAACATGAGACGTTAGCTAGAGCCTGAAATCCCCCCCCTTCTTTTTTTTCTTTCTTCTCATTTCTTTTCTTTTCTGTTGAAGTGGTTCTTGAATACGGTGACTCAAGACGGAGATCCGATGTGTTAATCCGTTTCTTTTCCTGGCCGTCTCTTGCTTGCTGCTTCTCGGCCTGTGGGCGTTCTCCCCGGGGGGTGGTGGTGCAGTTGCTGCAGAGGCAGCTGGCAGCAGAGAAGGAGAGGCGCACCAAGAACCTCAAGAGCATCGTCGACTCCTTTCAGCGCGCCAAGGAGGTGGGCAAGGTTGCATGGAAGGGGCGGGGTCGAGGGTGGTGGGAGTGAGTGCAGTTGGGTGGGAATGGGTGCAGTTGCTGCAGAGGCAGCTGGCAGCAGAGAAGGAGCGGCGCACCAAGAACCTCAAGAGCATCGTCGACTCGTTTCAGCGCGCCAAGGAGGTGGGCATGGGATCAGGGATGGTTGGGATTGGTGGGATTGGGTGGGGTTGGGGTTGGGGTTGGGGGCGCTATGTGGGATCGGGTGGGGTTGGATGGAGTTGTGTTTTTTGGAACGGAACCCGGTGGGACCAAGAAGAACCTCAAGAGCATTGCGGACTCAATTCGGCGCACCAAGGAGGTGCGATTGGGAGCAGAGACAGGGCGGGGTTGGTTTTGGGGTGGTGGGGCTGGGTGGGGCAGAGTGGGATGGTGGGTAGCAGGTGAGGTGGGATGGAGCTTGGTGGGACCGAGAACCTCAAGAGCAATGCTGACTCGTTTCAGCACGCCAAGGAGGTGCTGCTGGGAGGAGAGGGCAGGGTGGATGGGTGGGTTGGGTAGTGAGTGGGTGGGTGTGAATCACAAGCCAAAGTTCGCACACTCAGGCTTTAAGGGGTACCTGACACATGCCTACCTGAGATGGCAGTGGAAGAGACTGGATCAAGCAGCAGTACCAGCTGTCACAAGTGCCGTCTTTCTCGCCCCCTCACACCTCCCTCCTCTCCCCCTGTTGCAATGTATGTGTGCAGAGTTACGAGACCATCTCTGTGAGGGTGGTGGCAGTGGAAGACTGGATCAAGCAGCAACGCCAGGTACCATACGTGTGCCCCGTCTCCCCTCGACCGCCCCTCTCAGTCCCTCTCTTCTCTTCCCCTTCGTTTTCCTCCTCCTTTTTCTTCCCTCCACGCTCTCTCTCCCTTTTCGTTTATTGATTTCATTGGCGACTCTTGAGTCGTCTAAGAGAGCGTTTACCACTCACGTGCTCTCAGCCCTTGCTTTTTTGGTCTCTTTCTTGCCTTACAGTCACGTGCCAGTACACACACACACGCACACTCGTTTTACTTCCAACTCGCACTCCTCTCTCCGCCCAGGGCAAGGAGGAGGCGTTTGAGGAGCCGGCAGTGGTATCAGAGCTGAGGGCAGCATCGCAGGAGTACGATGCTGTCTTTGGCGCCATGCAGAAAACAGCAGAGGCTGGCGGTGTCGTTGCTCCTGCTGCTGCTGCTGCTGCTGCCACTTCTGCTGCTCCTGCTGCTGCTGCTCCTGTTGCTGCTCCTATCGCTGCTCCCGCCACTGCTCCTGCAGCTACTGCTGCTCCTGTTGCAGCTCTTCCTGCCGCCGCGGTCTCAGTTGCGCCCTCTGCTGCTCCTGCTGCCGCTGCTCCAGTCCCTGCTGTTCCTGTTGCCGCTGGTGAGACAGGCGTGCCCGTGGCCGCCCCAGGTGTTTCTGAGGCTAAGGTTGCAGCAGCAATGGAGGTGGAGGGGGCAGCTGGTGGGGTGAGTGGGGCAGAGGAGAAGGGGAAGAGGAAGAGGGAGGAGGAGGATGCAGTTATGAAAGAGGAGGGCGTTGAAGAAGGGGAGGTGAAGGGTCTGGCTGAGAAGAAAGCTAGGCCTTTGGACACCACCCCTGACACTGCTGCTGCTCCTACCACTGCTACTGCTGCCGCCACCACTGCTGCTGCTGGTGCGCCGAGTGCTGCTGCTGCTGCTGTTCCACCCACGTCACCTCTCCGTGCTGCTGGTACTGCTGCAGCTGCCGCTGCACCTCGATTTGCCAGTGACCCAAGCAAGCTGCGTGCCATGCTCATGCAGTCTCTGGCTCGTGCTAAGGCCGCTGGTCCTGTGTCAGCCACTGCTGCTGCTGCCCCTGCTGCTGCTGGTGCTGTTGTCACACCTGCTGCATCGGCTACCCCTGCTGCTGCTGCTGCTTCTGCTGCTGCTGCTGTTGCTGCAGCTGCGCCAGCAACAGCAGTTCCAGCAGCTGTTGTTCCTGCTGCTGCAGCTGCTCCTGGGGCAGGTGCAGTTGCTCCTTCCGTTGCTGCTCCCACTGTTGTTGCTCCAGCAGCTGGTGAGGCGGAAGGAGAGGGGGACGGCGGGGAGGAAGGTGACGATGGGGGGGATGGGGGAGAAGGAGCAGCGGGTTTGGCGTCTGGTGCTGCAGGGCGGGGGGGAGGCAGAGCAGGGGCAGGGCGGGGAGGGCGGGCAGTGAAGCACAGGCGGATCATGAGACCCTCGTTTGGGGGCGCAGCAGGGGGAGCAGGAGGAGCAGGAGGAGGAACAGGAGCAGCAGGAGCAGCAATTGGAGGGGGTGCGTCTGTGGCGCAGCCTGGGCCAGCTGCAACCAGTGCCTCGGCAGCAGCAGCAACACCAGCAGCAGATACTGCTGCTGCTGCTCCTCCTGCCGCTGTTGCCCCCTCAGCCTCTGCTGCTGCTCCAGTGCCTGCAGCTCCGGCCATTGTTGCACCTGTGCCTGCCGAACCTGCAGGCGAGGTTCAAGCCGCACCTGCTGCAGGTGGGATGGAGGTTGAGGGTGGGGAGCAGGGGGGCGCAGGGGCGAGTGAAGCGGTGCAAAGCGATGAAGTGGGGTTGGCGGGCGAGGCAGGTGGGGAAGCGGCAGGAGAAGGGGCAGAGGAGAAGCAGAAGCAGGGAGAGCAGGGCGCAGGTGTGGAAGGGGAGGGTGTGCCGTTGAGAACAGCAGGGGGCCAGGAAGTAGCACCAGCAACACAAGGGGAGGGAGCAGGAGGGGAAGGTGCCACTGGTGCTGCTGATGCTGCAGGTGGTGCAAGTGATGATGCTGCTGCTGCGGATGCTGCTTCTGTTCCTGCCACTCCGCCCCGCTCACCCACCCCCACCCCTCCACTTACCCCCACAGGGGCAGGTGAATCTGCTGCTCTCGTGCCTGGGGAAGGGCAAACTGGGGAAGGCCCAAACGGAGAAGGGGCACCAGAGGAGGCGGCAGGTGGTGATAGCACAGGGGCAGAAGGAGACGGGGAGGGGGAAGGGATGGGCGCTGGGGATACAGGTGGGGCAGCAGAGACAGGGGCGGGAGCAGAAGTTCCGGAGATTCACGTGGAGGGTTTGGGGGAGGAAGAGGATGGGGGGGAGCATGGCATGGGGGATGGGGAGGAGGGAGATGAGGCCATGGGGGAGGGGGCGGACGGGGAGGGGGAGGAGGGCGGGCATGAGGAGGATGAAGGGGAAGGTGGTATGCTTGAGGGGGAGGGGGAAGGGGATGCGGGAGCGGAGGGGGGAGGGGAAGGGGGAGGGGAGGGGGGAGGGGAGGGGGGAGGGGGAGATGAGCATGAGATGGCGGATGCAGGGGAGGAGGGGGGAATGGAAGTGGAGGGCGGGGGGGGAGGGGGAGGGTAAAGCAGGGGAGGGGCTGCAGCAGCAGGAGGAGGGTGGACTTGGGGAGTCTGGTGGTGCTGCTGCAGAAGCTGCTGGGGGAGCAGCAACAGAGGCGGGTGGACAGGTGCCAGCACCTGAAGGCCCACCTGCTGCAGCACCTGAAGGGGCACCTGATGTTTCTCTTTCTCCTTGGGATACCTCTGCTGCAGTGCCTGCTGCTCCCGCTTCTATTGGAGCTGCAACAATTGCCACTACCGATGCCATTGCTGGTACTGCCGGTGCTGCTGGTACTGCTGGTGGAACAGCGGCAGTGGAGGGAGCAACAACACAGCAGCCGGGTACAGGGGTGGGCACAGCAGGAGCAGCTACAGGAGGAACAGCCACAGCAGGAACAGGCACAGCAGAGACGGCTACAGCAGGAATGGCTTCGCGACCCAGGAGGTCGACAGCAGGGCTGAGAGGCAGGGCGGCAGCAGTGGCGGCAGCAACGGCAGGGCGAGGGGGAGGGCGTGGGGAGGCGGGAGAGGGGGGTGGTGCAGGGGAAGGGGAGGCGGCTCAGCGCGCTGCTGCCAGGCAGGCCCGGTTTGGTGCCGCCACATCTCCCCGCCGCGGTCGAGGTGCAAGGGTGAGTGAGATGTGACCCGTGTCGGCTTGTGGATTTGTTGATGCTCGTTTATGTGTGTCTGAATGGAGCCTGTTTCTTCAGGAGCAGCTCTGATGTGGTTTGACTCTTGTGTCATGCACGCGCGCACTCACGCACTCACGCACGCACGCACGCACTCACGCACTCACGCACGCACTCACGCACGCACTCTCACACGTTACACCTGTTATCCCTTCCACTCCCCATTTCCCGCCATCCATGGACATGCCCTGTGCATGCACCCCTTGGGCAGGGCCGGGGCACACGAGTGATCAGCCTTGTGCAGACAGCTGGACGAGGGACGGGCAGCCCGCGCGGGCGTGGCCGAGGCAGGGGAGCTGCAGGTAATATGCCCACCGCCTACACCCTTTTCGAGTTTTGTGGTTTCCGCTGTTTTGGTAGGTGCACCCGTGTTCTGAAGGTGGTGTGGGGATGTGTTTCTGTTGAATTCAACTCACAGGAGGGTCTTCATCCGCTGCACCAGGGGCAGATGGTGCGGGTGGAACAGGTGCAGCCTGAGAAGAGTGGCAGCTGAGTGCAGATTTCTTTTGTAAGTGAACCAACATTTGGTGCTAGCGAACTTGGCAAGTGTACCAGGATTCTATATCGGTGTACTAGTAACTGAAAGTAAGAATTGGGGCAGCAGTTTTTGTACCCCATGCGTGTGGTAGGCGTAGCCAATAGACTCTGCCTGTCTACCTAGCATTACACAATGGTGTTTCCTCACCTACTGATTGAATCAAGCTTGTCAGACAATTTCAACTACTACCACAGAATAGATACCATAGCTTCCAGACATTACGTAATTATACTGCGAAGAGACTTTTGTGCGTAAGCGCGTGACACCCCTAATGGAAGCAACTGTCACACCTTGCCGTCCCGCTGCCACTGCGACTAACAGAGACGTCGTCACAGACGTCGTCAATCGTTCGGCTGGCATCCTTCGTCGCAGCAGCGGGACCTCCTCACCGCGTGCGATGTTATCGTTCTCCGATTCCGAACGACTGGCTAAGCGACATCATTCGGTTGGAGGAACTTTCCATGCTTTCAAGGGCGGGGCTGGACCTTGCCCTACAGTACAAGTCCCCCTTGAGATTCAAACCATCCAACAATTTCGCTGAATCAAGCGAGTGAATCTCCTCTACGATTGGAGATCGGTGACTCCTCAGTTCCAGCGCGTCCCGCCCGCGTGTCAGCCCCACGTCACCCTGGAATTCCGGCTCGAGCAATGGTTGATGGCTCTCTGTCACAGACATCCACACAGCTGCGGAAATCTGCGCCGAAAATTTAACGTCAGCCGCCACGAGAGCGGCGCGACGTGATTACCTGCCATGGATGGCTGGTCCGATGTGGGTTTCGTTCGGTACGGGCATAGCAAAACATTACAAGCGAACAAATCCCGTCAGCAAACCGACTGGGACTTCCCTCATGTTCAGGAGTTTTGCGATGCCCGTATACGAAGGGCAGGTTGAATTGAGAGACTTGAAGATACATTCATGTTGAAGATGGTTCGGGATTCGGGGACGCGACAGGCTCAGAAGAGATCGGGCAGTCCATTGACTGGCCAGGGGAGACCACACCAGACCAGACCACACCACTAGTGTTCCGAGAGCAGACCCGGGGAGCTCGGGCAGCCACCAAAATACAGTGACTGCACCTAACGCTCATAGATGAATTGCTGCCGGGACCACCAACCAACACACACCAACCAAATGTAAGCTGTAACCAGCCAATCAACCAGCTAACAAACCAGCCGTAGGGATTGCCGAGTAGGATCTATAAAAATATATGTGCTTGTTAGCCGTCGACAGGCGGTCCTCCCTGACAAATATCTATTTATTAGGAGACGAACTCCCGACTAGCTGTTTGCCACCCTTGGTCATCTGCTGAATTCACATCTCATATTGGCTCTGCTCTTTCGCACTCACCTCTCTCATCAGGCTTCTACTGACTCGCAGCCATGATAAACTACGAGAAGAGATTCGGAGCGTTCAATCTGCTTTTGAGATTCTACGGCTCGCAATGGCCTCGAGCGACGCTACTCGCCCTGCCCAGCGCCATTCTCGCCGGGCTTCTCTCCGCGTTTATATTCGTCGATAAAACTCAACACCTCTTCCTCCACCCATACCCCTGTGAGCCTCGCTCCCTCCCCGCCCACCTTCCCTCACACCCTCCAATGTAAAAATTCTGAGAGATAATTAGGATCCTCAACAATCTCATTCTGCGTACTGCACGGCCGCTCAAATCTTCCTCTTTTGCGTCCCTCGTGCTCGTTCCTCGTCCCTTACCTCGTGCCTTCCTTCCTCGTGCGTGCGTCCCGGATGTTCCACCGCAGATGCCGTATTCAGCGGCGTCGTCGCCTTCATCCTCATCTTCCGCACCAATCTCAGCTACGCGGTAAGCCCGCTAGACCGGAGCTTGACGGCGGGATGAGACCGCTCGACGAATTAACGCGACAAACAATTCGACGGATTTTGCGGAGCATGAAAACAAATACTGAACGAGGATTGAATGGCTTAGAAGGAGTATCTTCGAGTCGGAATTCTAGCCGCTTACGTGCTAGATGTTTTTAATTCCGATTGAAAGCAGTCGTTGGCTTTCCGCACCGTCGCATACTCACAGTTTTCGTTCCAGCTTGCGTTTTTAATGCTCTTAACTCCAATCATTCTTCTCGGTTCCTTCTTTCTGTTTGGGGCGTGTGTTGGTGTGGCAGAGATACTGGGAGGGGCGAACAATGCTCGCACAAATGAGGTCCGTTTGTCGTCTTGTCCTTCCCTGCCGCGCCACTCGCATAGCCTTCGCCCCGTTTTATCTTCCGACCCGTTTCGTTATTTTTTTTAAACCTTGTTTTTCCGCTTCGTCTCAACACTCCCTCTCCCTCTCTTTCTCCCTCTCCCTCTCCCTCTCCCTCTTCCTCTCCCTCTCCCTTTCTTTCTCTCTCGTGTTGTGCAGCTCGAAATGGGGAGACGCCGCAATCCAGGTGAGCCATCGCTGCTGCAACTCGCAGTCGCTTTTTATCATTCTATACTCTCTCTCCCCTATTTCAACCATTTTGCCGTCCAGCTTCGATCGTTGTGCTCGCACGCCTGCTCGCACCTAGCGCACACATTCCTCGCCCAAGTTCGCATTGCTTTGGACTCGCCCAACCCGGCTAATCTCCCTCCCGATTCCTCCCGTCTGTCCGTCTGGTTCCCGCTTTTCCCGCCTCGCCTTCCGCAGGTGATATCGTTTGACGAGGGAGCCAAAGAGCCGGTGCCGGGGGGGATTCGGTTCCGCTCCGAGTTTGTGCACACCATGAGCCTCATGCATGCGCTCGCGCTGCAGGTATTGACTCACGCCTCGTCAGTACCCACGCCGTGACTCTCTTGCACGCACCGGCTTTACAAGCAAGCAGCGTGCCTTTTGTAAACACCATGAGCCTCATGTGCGCGCTCGCGCTGCAGGTATGCAGCATGGCTTGTGAATTAGCAACCTGCGAATCCATGCACACGCCCGCACTTCTGCCCGCGCTAAACACTTGCTCGCTGCAAGCCTTCCTTTTCTCTCTATCACTGTCTCTCTCTTGTCTGTGCGACTTATTCTCTTTCCCCTCTCACCTCCCACTCCTTTCCATCGCCCTGTCTGATATCCGTGCGGAGCAGAGACTAAGGGGGGACTCCTACCTGAGCAACTTAACTTATGGTGCGTGCTTTGTCTCCCTGCCATTCATCGTTGCTCACATGTTTGCCGGGGTTCTTGCTTCCGATTTGCTAGGCGCCTAAAAACTCATGCTTCGACTTTCCCTTCTCCGTTGTTTTGATTCAAGTCATACGACACCTTCATAATCTGATTACCTCTTTTCCTCTCCTCTCTCGCCCATGCAGGTCGTTTCATGGACATCCCACCAGAGCCGCCAGTGGACGCGGATCAGGTGGAGGAGTGGAACCGAGTGCGTGGAAACAAGTCTTTGGTCTTCCTGAGAGCCCACCGCCCCCACCTGGAGAAGTACTGGCGGGCGCTGCCGCTGGCAGTGCTGGGGGGGGTGAACCCCACGGAGTGCAGCATCCTGGAACCTTCCCGCGACCGTGTGTACCTGGTGATGTGCTGGCTGCACCGCGCGCTCGTGGCTCGCCGCATGGCGGGAGGGATCTCACAGGACGCCCCTATCGTGTCCAGAATATACCAAGTGTTGTCAGGTGAGGGAGTAGTTGTATTCCTCCTATTTTTTTTAAGCCCAGAAAAAAAAAAAAAAAAAAAAAAAAAAAAAACTGTTGGATGCACTGTTGCTTTTTCTTGCCACATCCTCATCCTTAGCTCTTATCCTTCCAACCAACCCTGCTTCCCTCCTTCCCCTCATCCCCTCACCCACCCACTCCCCCCCCTTCACCAGATGGCATGCTGGGGTATGAGAACGCACTCAAGATAGTGAACACGCCCTTCCCCTTCCCCTTCGCACAGTGCGTGGCTCTCCTCCTGCACATCAACGCCCTCATCATCCCGCTCCTCATGGCCGACTGGCTAGCAGACCCCTACCTAGCATCTGCAATCACCTTCCTCTCCGTCTTCTCCTTCTATCTTCTCAACGAAGTGGCGAGAGAAATTGAAGAACCATTCCGGTTCGACCCAAATGATCTCCCCGTGGTTTACCTCCATCATAAGTTCAACGAGCGGCTTGTCACGGCGTTTTCACGAAGCGTGTTTCCCGCAGACGGACTGTTTACGCACATTGATGAGAAGGAGATGGCGTGGCTTTTAGCTAAGCACCGGCCGGTGACAGTGGTGAAGGTAGCGGATGAGAAGGTGGGTGCCAAGGACTGTGTTATCGATGTGCTGTGCGGCGACAAGCTTGGAGAGAAGGCTCGGGCCGAGGCTGGTTCGGAGGGTGGGTGCTGTGGGGTGGGAGGGGCACCTGCAGCTGCCGCTGCCAGCGCTGCTGCTGCAAGTGCTGCTGCCTCTGTGGCTGCGCAGCAGTTCCTCGCTGCTGCCAGCTCGTGTGTGAGCAGCGTTCGAGAGTCGTTCCCGAGACTACGGTCCACCTGAAGCAATCAACATCATCAGCGGCGACGCCTGAAGCTCTACCTTGGAGGGTCCTCCTGCCAGCTCGTGTGTGAGCAGCGTTAGGGAGTCTTTCCCCAGACTACGGTCCACCTGAACCAGCAAGGACCTTCACAGGCTCCCCCTGTCCCGCTGCTGACAAGCAGTTGGATGAGCAGGTATAGTGCTAGCTGATCTTGAGGCGCACAGCCTTCAGCAATATGAAGGCTTTTTCAAGTTTGGGTCCTCTAGAAGAGCTGGTGGAAGCTAGGAAGTTAGAATCATAGAGAAGTAGGATAGCTAGGGCAGAAGTATGGAACAATGTACCATCTAGGTCATCATTAAATTTAATGGGTCCACCATAGAAAGTGATGTATCTCAGCTACCAGCTGGCTCTTGGTCCATTGCCAGTGCAGTTTTACATGGGCTTTGTGCATGGGGCGTCAAACGGAACAGACGTCCATTCCGCATCATGAAATCAACAGAATTGGTGTCACGTGTTGTGCCAGAAGGTACTATGCATTCTGAGGCCAATGCTGATGCTGTACTCTGCAACACTCATCCATGGGGCTTCTGCCCAATCATCCACGTCAGCCGCACGACGCGCTTCCAGTTGCTATTGGTCTATCGTTTCGTCCCATTCAAGCTCCTGGGATTGGTGAAGTCCCTCGAGGTTGGTCCGTATGTAACGTGAAACTTGAACTTTTGGCTGGCTGACACGGCAGCAAAGCAACAAAAATGAAGCGAAACAAAACACAAGGGACACGCCTCGCGTGGAATCAACCCCAATCCCAAGGTCAGCCACCCAACCACCACTAACCGTAAGCAACACATTTCAACACCTATTGAACCAACCAAACCGAACAATCCGAAGAACAGCTCAGCAGCAAAGCTGGCAGTAGGTAACGAGCTGCTCCCATAAGGCTGTAGAACAAATAGCTATGGATGCTGTTTATTTAAAAATTAGTGGTATCTGCTGCATTCACACCTCCTTTATATAAGCTTGATTATAAATCTCGTCGGTGAGACTAGGCCTTTTCGTCAGTTGCGATGATAAGCTACGAGAAGAGATTCGGAGCGTTAAATCTCCTGTTGAGATTCTACGGCTCGCAATGGCCGAGAGCGGTGCTTCTCGCCCTGCCCAGCGCCATTCTCGCAGGTCTCCTCTCCGCATTCATATTCGTCGATAGAACCCAGCACCTATTTCTCCATCCATACCCCTGTAAGCCTCACTCTCTCTCTCCCCTCCTTCCCTCACACCCTCTCCCCGAAGAATCTACGATTAAACTTGAGAATCCTCAACAAAATCACTCTGCATGGCCACCCAAAGACGCCTCGCTGCTGAATTCACTCATTTTTGTACTCTTCTTTCCCAGAAGCTGGGATTTGGCAGTGGCCTGAATCTTCACTCCCTTCCGACCCTCGTGCCTCCTCCTGGTGCGACCCCTGTTTTCTACCGCAGATGCCGTATTCAGCGGCGTCGTCGCCTTCATCCTCATCTTCCGCACCAACCTCAGCTACGCGGTAAGCCTGCCTGCCTGAAGTTTTCTCCTTGCTTTCGGGCCCTCACGGGCTCGCACTGCTTGTCCCGGCTTGCGTTCCCAGTGCGCCTAACGTCTAACTTACTTTCCGACCCCTTTTGGTTGGCAGAGATACTGGGAGGGTAGAACAATGATTGCGCAAATGAGGTCCGTCCGTCGTCCCGTCCTTCTCGCAATCCTTCCCTGCCGTGCCACTCGCATAGGCTTCGCTCCATTCAACCTTCCGTTTCATTTGGTTTATAGAGATTCCGTTCCACCATTCGTCTGCCCTCCCCCTGTGTCGTGCGCTGTGCACCTCGAAATGGGGCGCTGTGCAGCTCGAATCGTGCATCGGTCTCAACTATCTTCCTCTCCCTCTCCCTTTCCCTCCCCCCCCTCTCCCTCCCTCTCACTTTTCTCTCGTGCTCTGCAGTTCCAAATGGGGAGATGCCGCGATCCAGGTGAGCCACCACTGTTTGCCATCTGCAATTTGGTTGGTTCTTTTGTTATTGTTATTGTTCTTGTTTTCTGTTCTCTCTCCCACCAGACCACATGTTCACAATGCCTTGCTTACACCTCCCTTTCCCCCTCTCCTCGCCCTCTTTGCAGGTGATATCGTTTGACGAGGGAGCCGAGGAGTCGGTGCCGGGCGGGATTCGATTCCGCTCTGAGTTTGTGCACACCATGAGCCTCATGCACGCGCTTGCGATGCAGGTATTGCCTCATGGCTTTTCTCAAGCATGGGCATCAACACCATCTGCATACAGCATGCAGGGGCTTCTTTTGAGTCGATTCGAAAGCATGCAGGGTATTGGACACAGCAGAGATGCTTCTGCTGTATCTCTCGCTCAGAGTCTCGCGCATTCTGAACCCTAGCTCATTGCAATGCTTCCTGTGCTCTCCTCCCCACCTCACACTTGTCCATGGGACTTATTCTCTCCCCCGGTGTCTCATCCCATCCCACCCCATCCCATCCCATCCCTCTGATCGTCGTCTGTGTGGAACAGAGACTAAGAGGAGACTCGTACCTCAGCAACTTAACTTATGGTGCGCGCTTCGTCTCCCTGCCTTTCACCGTTGCTCCACATGTTTGCTGTGTTTCCTGCTTTGACTTCACCTTCCCCGTCAAACTTATTTTCTTAAGGCGCATGAATCAATCTGATTACCTCTCTTTCTTTCTCTCGCGCCCATGCAGGTCGTTTCATGGACATCCCACCAGAGCCGCCAGTGGACTCGGATCAGGTGGAGGAGTGGATCGATAGCCGCCTCATAATCAGATTCCCCTCTGCCTCGCTCTGCTTCTCTGCCCCTCCGTCTCTCTCTCCCACGCAGGTAGATTCATGCACATCCCACCAGAGCCGCCAGTGGACGCGGATCAGGTGGAGGAGTGGAACCATTCTTGTGGCCCCTCCATTTGCTTTCCTCTCTGCCCCTCTCCCTCTCTGCCTCTCTACTGCTGCTGCACAGGACGTTTCATGGACATCCCACCAGAGCCGCCAGTGGACGCGGATCAGGTGGAGGAGTGGAACCGAGTGCGCGGAAACAAGTCTTTGGTGTTCTTGAGAGCCCACCGCCCCCACCTGGAGAAGTACTGGCGGGCGCTGCCGCTGGCAGTGCTGGGGGGGGTGAACCCCACGGAGTGCAGCATCCTGGAACCTTCCCGCGACCGTGTGTACCTGGTGATGTGCTGGCTGCACCACGCGCTCGTGGCTCGCCGCATGGCGGGAGGGATTTCCCAAGACGCCCCTATCGTCTCCAGAATATACCAAGTGCTGTCAGGTAAGGAAATGGCCGTTTCTGGGTGCCCAGGGGAGAAAACAACAACAACAACAACAACAACATGCGGAATCACGTCCTTTTCCTTACCTCCCAATTTTTCCCAACCTGTGTTCCCTCCCTCCCCCTTTTCGTCCTTCCCGCCAGACGGCATGCTGGGGTACGAGAACGCGCTCAAGATAGTGAACACGCCCTTCCCCTTCCCCTTCGCGCAGTGCGTCGCTCTGCTCCTGCACATCAACGCCCTCGTAATTCCCCTCCTTATGGCCGACTGGCTCGCCGACCCCTTCCTCGCTTCAGCAATCACCCTGCTCTCCGTCTTCTCCTTCTATCTTCTCAATGAAGTGGCAAGAGAAATTGAAGAGCCGTTTCGCTTCGACCCAAACGATCTCCCCGTGGTGTACCTCCATCATAAGTTTAACGAGCGGCTTGTTACAGCGTTTTCGAGAAGTGTTTTCCCTGCGGATGGGTTGTTTACGCACATTGATGAGAAGGAAATGGAGTGGCTTTTAGCTAAGCACCGGCCGCTGACGGTGAAGAAAGGATTGGAGGAGAAGCTGGGAGTGAGTGCCAAGGACTGCGTTGTCGATGTGCTGTGCGGCGCCAAGCCTGGAGAAAAGGTTCGGGCCGAGGCTGACATGGAGGGTGGGTGCTGTGGGGTCTGTGGCTCGCCTGCTGCTGCCACCACTGCTGCCATGGCTGCTGCAGGTGCTGCTGCCTCTGTGACTGCGCAGCGATTTCTCGCTGCTGCCAGCTCGTGTGTGAGCAGCGTTCGAGAGTCGTTCCCAAGACTACGATCCACCTGAGCAAAATGAGGACCTTCAGAGGCGTCCTCTGCTTCGCTTCTCCACCTGCTGCTCCCCTCGAGCTGCTCAAGTAAGTGGAAGAATGGAGACCTGGGAAGTGGATTAAGTGAGTGGACGCACTCCAAGGTGCTGCCTGCTGCTCTACGTGGAAAAACGAAGACCTGGTGAGGATCCTCCTGCTGCTGACGGACAGCTGGGGGGGTGGCGGGGCAGCAGAGACAGTGGTAGATGGTCTAGATGCTGATCTAGATGCTTGAGGCACTCCACAGCCTTCAGCAATTTGAAGGCTGTTTGCTTTGGGTCCTGTAGGGAGGCAGAAGCACAGCCAAGTAGGTTAGTTAAGTAGGGAGGACGGTCCATTAGAAGAGAACTGGATATTTTAGTCTCCAATGTAATTTATTGTAGTGTTCTTCGAAGTGCATGGTATCTGAGCCAGTAACTGGCTATTGCTGGAGATTATTCTGTAGCAAGCTTCCATCCAAGAGTCTGCTATGTGCTTTCAAGGTCAGAATAGTTTGTCACTGACTGGTAAGCGACCGATCCAGTACATAACGCGTACACATATTCGGCAGCAACCGGAACACAATTGACGCGCCCCGCAAGAATCGAACCCCAAGGTCAGCATACCAACCGCCAGAAACACAACTCAACACCTTTCAAACCAACCAAACCGATCAGGCCGAGGACCGCCAGCAGCAGAGGCAGGTCGTCTCATCACATTTTGTCTCGTCAACCACATAGCTTTCCTTTCGGTACTAAAACAGCTGCTCCACTAAACGACTTCGGAACGAAGAGCTCGTCGCCTCGTTTGTTTCCGAGATTATGTAGCCTGCCAGATTCGCACCTTACATATTAGCTGTCGATTCCTTAGATTTTGTCGCTTTCACTTGGCTCTCTTTCCTCGCTGTCTAATCTTTAGAATTCGTCGCTTTCACTAGGCCCGATGATAAGCTACGAGAAGAGATTCGGAGCGTTGAATCTTCTATTGAGAGTTTACGGCTCGCAATGGCCGCGAGCGACACTACTCGCCCTGCCTAGCGCCATTCTCTCCGGACTTCTTTCCGCGTTCATATTCGTCGATAGAACCCAGCACCTCTTCCTCCACCCATACCCCTGTGAGCCTCGCTCCGTCACGCCTCATCACTCCCCTCCTCGCTCGCTCCCTCATGCTCTCCCCCGCTACTGTCACTGTCCCTCTTCTCTTACCTCTCATCTCTGCTGCCTAATGCACTCTCTTCTTTACCAAGCACTAGCGCAGTCTTTGCTCGTTTGGTAAGGCGTGCACTCTAGAACCTCTGCACCTGTGTCATAGCCTCGTTTTCTTGCGCTGCGCCGAATCCTCCGCGAGATGACGCACGTTTTCTTGCGATGACGCTGGCACGCTATTTTTTTCCGGCCGTATTCCGCGACTCGAGGTTGACCCGGTGCCCCAATCTGCTCTTCCCTTGCGTCCCTCGCGCGACTTTTGAGGCGCCTCAAAGTACCTCCGGTGGCTGTTTCCCACGACTACAAAAATGACTGGTTGCTCGAATCTATACCATAGCGCGTCCCTTCCTCATGCGTGCGCGCTCGCGGATTTTTGAGACGTTCCAAAAATGTTTATCTTGCGTTCCTCTTGCGCGCGTTCTCGTCGCTGATGCCGTGTTTAGCAGCGCCGTCGCGTTCGTCCTGATTTTTCGCACCAATCTCAGCTACGCGGTAAGCCACTCAGGCAAGCTTTTGACACAAAACGTGACGGACTGACAAGGAAATTGACAAACTAACGGCAAGCCGAGGGGTTGGCTCCCATGTGGCAACAGTTGCGCCAGAAAGTTTGTCGCGTTCTGGTTTGCGCTGTGTGTGCTTGTGAAACCGTACCGTACCATACACAAGTTCCTCCTCTGGTCTGACCGTGGCCCTTTTTGTTTTACCCGTGGCATGTGTTGGTGTGACAGAGATACTGGGAGGGGCGAACCATGCTCGCACAAATGAGGTCCGTCGGTTGTCTCATCCTTTCCATGTCTCGTCCTTTCCACGTCTCGACCTTCCCATGCCCCGTCCTTCCCATGCCCCGTCCTTCCCATGCCCCGTCCTTCCCATGCCCCGTCCTTCCCATGCCCCGTCCTTCCCATGCCCCGTCCTTCCCATGCCCCGTCCTTCCCATGCCCCGTCCTTCCCATGCCCCGTCCTTCCCATGCCCCGTCCTTCCCATGCCCCGTCCTTCCCATGCCCCGTCCTTCCCATGCCTCGCCCTCTCTTCTCTTCTCTTCTCTTCTCTTCTCTTCTCTTCTCTTCTCTTCTCTTCTCTTCTCTTCTCTTCTCTCCTCTCCTCTCCTCGCCCTCATGCAGTTCGAAATGGGGAGACGCTGCAATTCAGGTGAGCAAATTGTTGTTGTAACGTGCCATGTTTAACGCAAATTCAGGTTGAGCAAATTCAGGTTGAGCAAATTCAGGTTGAGCAAATTCAGGTTGAGCAAATTCAGGTTGAGCAAATTCAGGTTGAGCAAATTCAGGTTGAGCAAATTCAGGTTGAGCAAATTCAGGTTGAGCAAATTCAGGTTGAGCAAATTCAGGTTGAGCAAATTCAGGTTGAGCAAATTCAGGTTGAGCAAATTCAGGTTGAGCAAATTCAGGTTGAGCAAATTCAGGTTGAGCAAATTCAGGTTGAGCAAATTCAGGTTGAGCAAATTCAGGTTGAGCAAATTCAGGTTGAGCAAATTCAGGTTGAGCAAATTCAGGTTGAGCAAATTCAGGTTGAGCAAATTCAGGTTGAGCAAATTCAGGTTGAGCAAATTCAGGTTGAGCAAATTCAGGTTGAGCAAATTCAGGTTGAGCAAATTCAGGTTGAGCAAATTCAGGTTGAGCAAATTCAGGTTGAGCAAATTCAGGTTGAGCAAAATTCAGGTTGAGCAAATTCAGGTTGAGCAAATTCAGGTTGAGCAAATTCAGGTTGAGCAAATTCAGGTTGAGCAAATTCAGGTTGAGCAAATTCAGGTTGAGCAAATTCAGGTTGAGCAAATTCAGGTTGAGCAAATTCAGCTAGTTGCAATGCACATGCTGTGGAGGGGGGAAAGGAGGGGCCAGTGGAGCCGGGTGGAATATGGATCCCCTCCCATCTGCTTTTGAGTCGACTCAAAACCAGGTGGAATATGGAACCCGTCCCATCTGCTTTTGAGTCGACTCAAAACCGGGTGGAATATGGATCCCGTCCCATCTGCTTTTGAGTCGACTCAAAACCGGGTGGAATATGGATCCCGTCCCATCTGCTTTTAAGTCGACTCAAAACCGGGTGGAATATGGATCCCGTCCCATCTGCTTTTGAGTCGACTCAAAACCGGGTGGAATATGGATCCCGTCCCATCTGCTTTTGAGTCGACTCAAAACCGGGTGGAATATGGATCCCGTCCCATCTCGTCTCCCCCTCCTCTCCTTCCGTCTGCACCTCTGGCCTTTCCGTTTTCCTCACCCCTCTCGCCCTCCGCAGGTCATATCGTTCGATGAGGGGGGGCAGGAGGAGCCAGTGGAGCCGGGCGGGATTCGATTCCGCTCCGAGTTCGTGCACACCATGAGCCTCATGCACGCCCTCGCGCTGCAGGTATGCCTTTTCGGTACCTACACCGTGAGCCTCATGCACTCACCATGAGCCTCATGCACGTGCTCGCACTACAGGTGTTGCACTGTCTTAGATCTCAATTTCAGTGCGTGTGAGTAAGCAAGCAGCATCCATTGTGCGTTTGTGCACACCATGAGTTTCATGCACAACGTGAGCTTACCTGCCTGCATGCCTGCCAGCCTTCCTGCCTTATCACCTCTCTCACCTCTCTCACCCCTCACCTCCTCTCTCACCTCTCTCACCTCTCTCACCCCTCACCTCCTCTCTCACACCTCGCCGCCTCTCTCTCCCCTCACCTCCTCTCTCACCCCTCGCCGCCTCTCTCTCCCCTCACCTCCTCTTTCTCCCCTCGCCTCTCTTCCCTCACCTCCTCTCTCTCCTCGCCGCGCCTCGCTCTCTTCTTTGTGTCTCTCTTACTTACACACTCTCCCGGCATTGCTTTCCATCACACGTCTGTCTGTCTGTGCCGAGCAGAGACTACGAGGAGACTCACACCTCACCAACTTGACTTATGGTCTGTACTTTGACTTATGGTCTGTACTCTTATGGTTTGTATAAACTGATGTGTGGGCTCATTCTTGACTCTACTCTTCTCTCCGGATTTTTGCCTCCTTGCCATACCTCCTTCTATTCCTCTCCTTGCCCTTGTTGCAAAAATAAGCTGTGACCAGTTCCCGTCCCTACAAAGCGTTTCACGCTTCATTCGCATCGCGCCGCTTCTCTCTGCTTTTCTCTGCTGATGCACAGGTCGATTCATGGACATCCCACCAGAGCCGCCAGTGGACTCGGATCAGGTGGAGGAGTGGATCAATAGCCGCCTCATAATCAGATTCCCCTCTGCCTCGCTCTGCTTCTCTGCCCCTCCGTCTCTCTCTCCCACGCAGGTCGATTCATGGACATCCCATCAGAGCCGCCAGTGGACGCGGATCAGGTGGAAGAATGGAAGCGAGTGCGCGGAAACAAGTGAGTGGAGGCAGCAGGGAGGACATTGAGAATTGCGAGGTTAATGGCCAGACGAGGAGGTTAACTAACATGTCTAGTACCAAACATAAGGTTACGTAGTGTGGTTTTGCGGTGAACCAGACATGAGGTGAAGTACGATACTTATATAGCCAGTAACTGGCGGGCTTTGCTATGCTTGCCCCTCCCTGTGCTTCTCTGCCCCTCGCAGTCCACCTCTGCTGCCCCTTGCAGTCCACCTCTGCTGCCCCTCGCAGTCCACCTCTGCTGCCCCTCCCATTGCATGTACTCCACTCGTGCTCCCAAGTTCCCCCCCCATCCCACCCACCCCGCTCCCGTCCACTCCTCCCACCCACGCCCCAGGTCCTCCATTTTCCTGAGAGCCCACCGCCCCCACCTGGAGAAGTACTGGCGGGCGCTGCCGCTGGCAGTGCTGGGGGGGGTGAACCCCACGGAGTGCAGCATCCTGGAACCTTCCCGTGACCGTGTCTACCTGGTGATGTGCTGGCTGCACCGGGCGCTCGTGGCCCGCCGCATGGCGGGGGGGATCTCACAAGACGCCCCTATCGTCTCCAGAATATACCAAGTGTTATCTGGTAAGCCGTTCTTGAGCTTCATGCAAGCGAAATCAATGAGCCATCAATGAGCCATCAATGGGTCGTTCCATCATCACGTCTTGTTCTTCCCTATCCTCACTTTTGAGTCGACTCCTAAGTCACCTAGCTGTTGCACCGTTCCGTTCCATCAATGAGCCATCAATGGGTCGTTCCATCATCACGTCTTGTTCTTCCCTATCCTCACTTTTGAGTCGACTCATAAGTCACCTAGCTGTTGCACCGTTCCGTTCCATCAATGAGCCATCAATGGGTCGTTCCATCATCACGTCTTGTTCTTCCCTATCCTCACTTTTGAGTCGACTCATAAGTCACCTAGCTGTTGCACCGTTCCGTTCCATCAATGAGCCATCAATGGGTCGTTCCATCATCACGTCTTGTTCTTCCCTATCCTCACTTTTGAGTCGACTCATAAGTCACCTAGCTGTTGCACCGTTCCGTTCCATCAATGAGCCATCAATGGGTCGTTCCATCATCACGTCTTGTTCTTCCCTATCCTCACTTTTGAGTCGACTCATAAGTCACCTAGCTGTTGCACTGTTCCGTTCCATCAATGAGCCATCAATGGGTCGTTCCATCACGTCTTGTTCTTCCCTATCCTCACCACACCGTCCCCTCTCTTCCCATTCCTCCTTTCCCCTCCTTCACCCCCTTCCTCCACCCCCTCCCCCCCACCCTCCTCCCACCTGCTCCCCACCAGACGGCATGCTGGGGTACGAGAACGCACTCAAGATAGTGAACACGCCCTTCCCCTTCCCCTTCGCGCAGTGCGTGGCTCTCCTCCTGCACATCAACGCCCTCATCATCCCGCTCCTCATGGCCGACTGGCTAGCCGACCCGTACCTTGCATCAGCAATCACTTTGCTGTCCGTCTTCTCGTTTTATCTTCTGAATGAAGTTGCAAGGGAGATTGAGGAACCGTTTCAATTCGACCCGAATGACCTTCCGATGGTTTATTTGCATCACAAATTCAACGAGCGGCTTGTGACTGCATTTTCTATAAGTGTTTATCCGGCAGACGGCCTTTTCACACAAATCGACGAGAGGGAGATGGAGTGGCTTTTAGCAAAGCACCAGCTGGTGATGGTGACAACAGTAGTGGAGGGGGAAGAGGGAGTTGCTGTGTTGTGCGCCGACGAACCTCGAGATAAGGTTCGGGCCGAGGCTGGCTCGGGGGGTGGATGATGCGGGGTGGTTGGAGAAGCTTCTGCTGCCTCTGCAGATGAGCAGAAGGGGAGCAGCTGTAGTGATAAGAGAGGAAGGTGCTGTTGCATCGACAGACATTGCTACCTCCTTACGAGATCTAAAACTGACATGACATGATGGCCCTTCAATGTAAATAGGACATTAGGATAGTTATTGTCCAATGTAAATATATGTAAATATGATAATAGGATAGTCATTGTTCTAGGGATCAGTAAACAGCCTATCACAACCCATCACATGGGCACTTCAACCAAGGCATTCGCCTTCAGCAAAACTGCAACATACCATTGTGTGGTCCATCTCCTGGTGCAATTACTGAGGCGCCATAAAAAATCAGCACCCAAACAAACCCCTAGTCCATGCAATTACTGTGTCTGGCCACCGTCAGTTTGAGAGCTCCTTGCTGCGGTTAGCAGCTGCAACCACGGCATTCACGCCAAGACGCCGCTAGAAGCCCCATACCCGAACCTCCCCTGTCCTTGCTCCTCCGCCTGGCCGTCAGTTGGAAAGCTCCTTGCTGCGGTTGGCTGCAGCAACCACGGCATTCATGAGCAGCGATCGGAACCCGCCCTTCTCCAACTCGTGCAGGCCAGCAATGGTGGTTCCTGCATGGTCATCAAAGGACGACGGGGGGAGGAAGGGAAGTCAACTCACAATCCGCTTCTTTCGAGCTCATTTAGCCCAGCAACGGCGTTATTTGGTGTCAAGGGGTGCGGCAGAGAGCAAAATCGTCGGCTGAGGAAACTGCGACGTGTGGAAGAGAGGGACGCAGCAGAGTAGCAGCAGTGAGCACACCTGCTGGTGACTGTCCAACAACAATGTTCTCAAGAGCACAACTGCAGCTAGAAAGAAAGAAAAAGGCCATGCAACAACGCGATCACACCTGCTGGTGAGGCGACAGAGTCCTTTAGTAGGCCTGGGTGCTTCTGAGTGTCGATTTCTTAGGCGCCTCAAAAATCGTCTCAGTTCACGCGAACAATGTGATCATACCTGCTGGTGAGGCGACAGAGTCCTTTAGTAGGCCCGGGTGCTTCTGAGTGTCGATGACCATCTTGGCTGCTCCATACACCTGCCACGAGCTCATTATGAGAGAGGGGGAAAAGATGCCAGCAATGATTTTTGAGTGTCAACCTGCTTTTTGAGTCGACTCAGAAACCACATCACCTCGGGTGCTTCTGTATGTCTATCACCATTTTGGCTGCTCCTTACACCTGCCGGGGAGGGGGGAGAAAGGGCAACAATGCCTCATCAGCCATGCCTCATCAGCCATGATTCACCAGTAAAGCTTCACTTCACTAGCGAGGATTGATAGCTTCACTTCACTAGCGAGGATTGATAGCTTCACTTCACTAGCGAGGATTGATAGCTTCACTTCACTAGCGAGGATTGATAGCTTCACTTCACTAGCGAGGATTGATAGCTTCACTTCACTAGCGAGGATTGATAGCTTCACTTCACTAGCGAGGATTGATAGCTTCCGCTGGTGTAGTGAAGCAGAGATAGACAGCCTACATGTGACTTTTGAGTCGACTCAAAAGTCATCTCGCTGCTGCAATGAAACAGAGATCCACAGTCTACCTGTAAGAACTATGGGTATGAAAGAATGGGTTCCTACCTACCAAGTTGTAGGCGTTTATAGAGGGTTTGGAAGGAACGCCGACAACAGGGAGTGATTTTGAAAAGTCCATTGCGAGCAATCTCGCTCTTGGCCTCGTATCAAACATTGCTCCTCACCCCTCACCTCACCGCACCTCACCTCACCGCACCTCACCTCACCGCACCTCACCTCACCGCACCTCACCTCACCGCACCTCACCTCACCGCACCTCACCTCACCGCACCTCACCTCACCGCACCTCACCGCGCACCTCACCGCGCACCGCACCTCACCTCACCTCACCGCACCTCACCCCGTTCAGAGTCTCACTGTCCCAGCAGCGAGAGAGGGCGCCACCATTCCATTCATCTTATCTCCTTCAATCGTTGACATATGTGCACCTCACCTCACCTCACCTCACCTCACCTCACCTCACCTCACCGCACTCAGAGTCTCTTCTCACCGTCTGAGCAGCGAGGGAGAGAGCCACCTTGCGGGGAAGGCCTGCCGCCGTGCCACCATCAGCTAGCGCCTCTATTGCCACAAACACATATGCTGGCCCGCTGCCGCTGCAGTGGGGAGAAGAGGGGAGAATGGACGGGCAGAAAAGGGGACGTGGTAAGCAGGGTTGCAGTGCAGGCACAACCACATCACCACCACCACCAGCAACTAGTGCCTCTGGCCACAAACACGTATGCTGGACCACTGCCGCTGCAGTGGGGACAAACATGGCATGGCAGGCAGAAGTGGTAAGCAGGGGTACAGGCATGCCATGCCACCACCACCACCACCACCACCACCACCACCACCATCAGCTAGTGCCTCCATGGCCGTAGGGATTCTTTGAGAATTCTTTGAGAATTTTTTGAGAATTCTTTGAGAATTCTCAAAAAAAGCTTAGGCGCCTTCATCAGCTAGTGCCTCTATGGCTGGCCACAAACAAGTACGCTGGGTCGCTGCTGCTGCAGATGAAAAAAGGGAGAAAGGGAGAAAAGGGGGAGTGTTAAGCAGGGTTGCAGGCACACCCACCTGAGCCTCTGTTGGAAATCACCTGAGCTCAGGAATTACCTGTGCTCTGTTGAATTACCTGAGCCTCTGTTGGAATCACCTGAGCTTTTGTTGGACTCACCTGAGCCCAGTAACAGCGTCGAGCAGACGCTCCTCCACCTCGTACACCTCCCCCACGGCGCCAAACATGGCCCTCACCAACGCGCCATCCTGCTCTGTTGCGCTCTTGCCCAGACTCATGGCTGGATGGTGGGAAATACAGGGGAATAAGGGGGGAGAGAGGAGGTGCCTCAACAAACATGGCCCTCACCAGCTCCCCATCCTGCTCTGTTGCGCTATTGCCCAGACTCATGGCTGGATGGGGGTAAAAGGAGGGAATAGGAGGGAATAGGAGGGAATAGGGGGGGATGGGAAGATTACGGGGGGAGAGAGGAGGTGGTTTCGAAGGCGCCTCGACAAACATGGCTTTCACCAACGCCCTGTCCTCATCTATTGAACGCTTCCCCAGACTCATGGCTGGATGGGGGAAGTAGGGGGAGTAGGGTGGAATGGCACGCTTGGGGAGTAGGGTGGAATGGCACGCTTGCAGCAATGGAGGGCGTGAAGCAGCGTGCGGGTAGCCGTACGACGTGTTTTGAGACGTCTCAAAAGGTAGCCGTACGACGTGATGCCTGGAACTGCTGAGGCGTCTCAAAACTGGACGAGTTTTAAACTGATGTGCTGTTGGATGACACTTGCACCGACGACCGCATACTGGTAGCATGGAACGTACTGCAGGTTACTTATGCCCTACTCATTCATCCCTCTCATTCGAGTGACTTTTGAGAATTCTCAAATTCTCAAGAGTCACATGAATATAGCGTGCGGATTACTTGTGCCCTACTCCTCCCTCTCACCAGCAGCAGTGGCACCGACAAGACAAGGTGTGTTGGGCATGACTCGCACGATCCGCACGCCCTCCCCCGCCCACTGCTGCATCTTGCCAAGTGGCACGCCCGCAGCGATCGAAACGATGAGGTGGCGCTCCGTCAGCGCGCCCGACGCCGCCAGGTCAGCGAGCACAGGCTGCACGGCGAACGGCTTGACTGCAATGAAGATGACGTCACTGCTGGCCGCCACCTGGTGGTGGGGGAGTTGAAGGGTTGTTGAGGGGTGAAGGTGGGTGTGCGGG